GGAGAGTGCCATGGTGAGATGCAGAAGGAGACAGATGTGTTCAGTACAACCTGTTTGCTGTAACTCAGTCAGAGCTCTGCCTTTGGCACTGATGTTGGCATGGGTGGAGGTAGTGCCACATCTGCCTTTCTGTAGTGCACAGGTTGTGGCACAGGGCTCCCCTCTGTTGTGGGACTCAGATTCAGTCAAAGAGAAACAGGAGTTTCTATCCAGGCAGATGCCTGGGAAAGAGTTGGAAAAGAATGTAAATAATTCTTTATCTCTCGTTTTTCACATTGTTTATAGTTAAGTTCTATCACTGTGTGTCAAGCACTTTGCACCAATGCTATGGGTTGTTTTCACTTCAGAACCAATGGATTTGGTCCTCACGAAGCTCTGTATAAAAGACCAGTGTATTCTGAATAAATCAGAGTCTTACTTTCACAGCCTTCTGAGTCAAGCCTATTCATTCCTGTCCTGCCTCGACAGCGACACTGTCATTCTGTTCAACCTTGCAATGATTCTATGATGCCCCCAATAATAATATGGAGAACAATTTGCATGAATTTGCATAAACTTGGTGCTTCTAACTTTAAATTTTAGATTAGATGGCAGCCACAGAACTTTATTTCTTTTACATCAGTGATAAATTAAGACTTAGGAATAGATAACATTTCTTGCATGTCTCAAAAGCCTTCCATAATAGTTTATTAGAACCCATCTAGTTTCATTAATGTTTTATCAAAAACCATCTGGCTGCTGTATTGTTCAAGCTATTTAGTAGTAAAACTTTCTCATAAATTATCCAGAAGGAATGGCTATCAAACTATTGTGTAGGAGCCCAAATCAACTTTCATGTAGGTCCTATAAAAACAATTTTTTGTTTATATGTTATTATTTTATATAATTATATATTTATAATTATATAAAATAATAAAGATACTAGACTACACTAAACTTCAACATTAAACTTCAAAAGTCTAGAAAATATATCAGAATAAAATCTGAAATTTAGCTTATTCCTCATGCTTCTTAATTTTTTTTCTCTTTTCTACATGTTTAATTCTTGGGCAATTGAAACAGGAGTGACAAAGTCAAAATTACAAACTGTATATAAATAAAAATCAATAGAATTTTGTTTTTCAATAAAACATTACAAATAGAGAATATCTGTCACTATGCCTCCAAAAAATGAAGCCCTTCATCTTTGTATCTCTGCACATGTACACTTTGCAGATTGTAAGCACTCTGACAGGGTTTCTGGCACTGCTCTGAAATCTAACTGTGCAGTAGCACAAGGCACCATTCAGAGTTGTACAGTGCCTACGACTATGGGAAGCTAGGTAAATGATTGTAGAGCTTAATTTTACATAATATACATTGTTTTAATAAATTGTACTTCCACTCATAATTATTTTACTGTTACATTTTCAGATCAGTAAAGATGTCACCCTAGAATTAGGGCAGTTCCTAGAGATTTTGCTATTTATAGACAACCTTAAAATTACTGTGAAAGGAAGAACTAAGGAAAGAATATCTAAAGAATACATAGAAGATTTAGGACAAAATTGGTAAAGCAACAGGTGGTAGAAGACCCCTGGAAAAGAGGCTATGGCTTAAGCTGCCTGTAGAGAGAAAAGCTGGCTGTAAGTTTTCTTTGATCAGCTCTTCAGATTTGTTATGTTTAATGTAATTCCTTTTGCATCTTCTGAATGTGTATGCACAAGCATTGTCAAAAAACCTCACTATCCACCTGTGGGAGCAAATTATTTGGGCAGAATTTTCTGAAGAATGGGCAATGTGTGATTGCAGTCCTTCACGGGGCAGCCAGCTGGATGGTGTTTGTATTGCGCTGCTGCAGAACTGCAGCATGGCCATAGTCAAACCTTGCAAAAAGTTCAGAAGCTAACATATTGAGTAACACCAGATATATGTTGTCATGTACTACATTTGTAGCAATAGCTTTACTGTGATTTAAAACAAATTTTCTCTCTCCCTTTTGGTTTTTGTGCCTCCTTTTCTCTTCTAGTTGTTTTGCAACTCCATAATCCCCCTTCTCATTACCTGTTGTCAGCTCAGTCTCTCTTGCAGGAACAACAGCAGAAATTCCTGTTCCAGGACAATCTGAAAGGGATGTCTTCAGCACAAAAAAGAAAAAAAAAATTATAAAGTAGTTTTAAGTACCCACAAAGATAGAAATTGATAATTTTGTTTAGCAATCTTTGAAGCAAGCCATAGCCCATAAAAGTGGCAGATGCATTGAGGAGAAGACCACAAACAGCAAAGAAATCAGTGGCTACAGAGGGTCCTGAGGAGTGGTGAGGCTGCATTGCTCCTACAAATGAGTCAGGATTCCTGCAGCTTCCCAGGGGTTCTGCAGCAGGAGCTGTCAGGAGCTGTCTGAATCTTCTGCTGTAGAAACACACACTGCAGAGGAGGACAGAAGTTAAACTCCCATGCCATTTCCCACAGGGGTGACAGTTCAGCCCCGTTGGGTACCAAGAGGAAAGCCTCATGTTTCTTCTTAATGTCACTTCATTCTTCAGCTTGCTATTGCTCCTCCTAATTTCAGCATGTGAAGTGTTTGCTTTTCAGTGTCCTACAGGCAGTGGGATAAGAACATACCTGGGTTTTTCCCCACGAAAGGGAACAGGATGAAGAAGGAACACAGTTCTTTTTGAAACAAGGAGCAAGGGCTGGCAAGCAGCTAAAGATTGTGTAGGCTGGAAATTGCATGGGAGCTCTCTTTATATTATGCAACAGTGTTGCCCAAAAGGACAGCAGGTACCATAAAGAGGATGCTTCGGGTCAAAACAGATTGGTAGATATAAAAGCAGTGTGTCCCAATCTGGGCTTCTCAGCACAAGAGACACATGGGTTTCCTGGAGCAGGTCCAGCTGAGGGCTGCAAAGATCTTTAAGGGACTGGAGCATCTCTGTTACGAGGAAAGGCTGTGGGAGCTGGGCCTGTTCAGCCTCGAGAAGAGATGATTGAGAGGGAACCTCACCAATGTCTGTCAGTGTTTGAAGGGAGAGAGCCAAGAGGATGGAGCCAGGCTGTTCTCGGGGGTGCTGAACAATAGGACAAGAGCCAATGGGCAGAAACTGGAAATTCCACCTGAACATGAGGAAGAACTTCTTTACTGTGTGAAGTTGCCCAGAAGGAATGTGGAGTGTCTCTCACTGGAGACATTCAAGAACTGTCTGGTTTCAATCCTGGGCCATGTGCTCTAGGATGACCCTGCTTGAGCAGGGAGGTTGGACTACATGATCAAATGTGGTCCCTTCCAACCTGACTGATTCTGTGAAAAGGCTGCAGCTGTCCTTCTGAACAGAGTGGGAACCACTAAAGCAGTCATTTTCCTGCAGATTTATACTGGTGGTGGCCTGGGACAGTCACACAACTCCAGGTTGTTGACACTTCGTTATATTGCAGTTCCACATGCAGACCAGGTCATCACTATGCTGGAAAACAGCCTCCTGTATGAAATAAACTGCTGGCCTCTTCTCTGACGATTAAAAATGTAGTTCATTTGCTGCATCACAGGACTAAAACTGGTGTCCTTCTGCCTGTATTGCCCTTGTTTATCTGAATGGTGCACTTATTTGGGTGAATGGCATCTGTAAAAGGTGATGCAAGTATCCTTGGGTGGATGACTTTCTTATTTCCAGAGTCAACTCTTGGCAACTGGAGATGGGATTGTACTTCTCTTGCAGAACTGGTTGCTGTCAGCTTGAGATGGGGCTTATTTGGTTCTCCCCAATTACTGTCCAGCCTCACCAAGGCCAACATACCACAGTGTGAGCAATACAGTTTCTAAAAGAAATGGAAGAACAGCTGTGTCCTGAGAGGAAGCATTATCAGGAAAGGAAACAATAAGGAACCAGTACTGGGAAAGCATGAACTGCAGTTACTCCTTTTTCCTAGGACCTTCATGACTGTACACTTCAATACTGAGAATCATATTTGAACATACACTCTTTCCTCTCATTCCTTTCTCCCATCAAGTCAAACAGGCAATTCATGTTGGTATCAAGACCAAAGCATTCACATGAGCCTCAGCATTAAGAAGCTTTGCACGTACATAAAGTACAGTGGAGCTCCTGCTAGGGCATTTTTTTCCCCTGTGATGTGGCATGGGCTCTTTTTCAGTTCCTGATATTCACAAATGGTGAGAATATAGTATCCTGGAGTTCTCTACCCTGCATCAACTTTAACTGAAGCTTTACTCTGTCTCCAAAATGAAAGAAAACACATTAAGGAAGGGCTAGGCTCACCATCCTTTAGTAACTAGAGAATGTAGAAAAAGTCAAGCTTGCCCTATTTGCAGTACCTCTCTTAGGCAAAGTCCTTAGTAAAAGATTTTCCCCACCGAAGAACTTTTCAATTTGATGCACTATTTTTAAACCTTATAAGAAAAATTGATTTTTCCATCCAAAAAGCCTATATAGCTCTAGTTGCCTTTAAAGGGTTTGCTTCATTGACTGAAGTGCAAGTAGCAAACAATGAATACAAGTAGGATGACCTCTTGACTTCACTCCATCATCAGCCTGTCAATTGCCAAAATTATAACAAACCTTGCAGTAAACAAAACTGTAAATCTCTTTCAGCTATTAGACAGGGTCTCATCTATTGATAAATCTACATAATCTTCCTTGCCTTAGGCAGCAATTTAGGCATTGCAGACATACCCTCATAAAAACCTAAGGAGAGGATTTTTCAAGGCATGTACTGCAGTAATTCAAAGTTGCCTTACTGCAACCTTTATTTATTTTTTTAACACAAGCTGAAAAGTAAGGAATTTGTAATTTTGGAAATAAATTTTTATCAAGAAGTTTTAATAAAGACAACAATGTTAAGCAAGCAAAAAGGAAAGTACTTTTGAATTGTAACAGCTGGTTTTACTAGAATAGCATGTGAAACATCAGCACACAAAATCCTCAAGGATAAGCAGTACCCTAATATTTAGAGGAAGACAATAATTCCTGGAGTCTGAAATTACAGTCAGAAACATCAGTGGATGTTCATACACAACATCTTGTGTCCCAGGAATTTATTACTGTTTCAAGAGCCTGTAAAAACTTACATTAGTGAGCCCACAGAGACAAATTCTCAGTTAATTCAAGCCTTGGTTACATTCAGCTCAGTAGAGCAATGTTGATTTACCTCAAATGAGAGTTTGCACAAAGTAATTTCAAATATTTCCCTTGGTACAGAGTAAGCAAAGATACAAATTCATAAGTATACATCAGAATTTGGATTCTGGCCAGCTTTTAACCCCATTTAAAAACAGACAGTAACTCTACAAATCCTTAGGCATAAAACGGAGAGGTCTAAATTAAAAATCAATAAATCAGGCACAGAGAGCAACATTTGCAACATGAAAGAAATATAAGAAACATAATTATATATTTTATATATAATTTATAGAGGCATAAAAAACAACAACAAAGAAGCCAAGATGTGTTGGTTATTATGTTGAGCAAGCTTTGCTTAGCTGTCAGTGTTTTTCCTCACTCTATGAAGGTTTGAATCATTTTGGAGTAAGCAAAACAACTTTAAAATAGAGATTACTGTAAATGAAAAGACAACTGAGCTTAAACACAAATTTGATGCAAGTTCTACACAAGCTAAGTTTATCTTGCACTTCTGTAGAGAAGAACAGCCTGGTTTGTCTGGGTAGCACTGACCACACTGTGGGCACTTGGCATGGTATTAGCTTGAGAGGCAGTCATAAGAAATTCACTTCCATAACCATTTATCTGTAAGAAAAATTCCTGCTGCCCTGGGTGCTCATGTGTGGGGCACCAATAATGAGCAATCTTCCTTGCAATCTTCCTCTCCCTTTCATAATTATGAAAAAGATACTACTGCTTCTGTAAACCAGAACTTTCCCAGCAACTTGAACTATATGTAGTTATTTCAGATACCAATTAAACTGTATCAGATCTCTATGAAATAAATCAGCAATGAAGTAATTCTCCCTGACACAAAGAGAAAGTTCCAAAGTTCTTAACCCAATAGAACTAAAATGGATGTATCTCAAAAAAAACACTGTAAAGACTGTTTTTCTTTTGGCCTCTATTCTGATTCTGCCATGTGCAACAGTCAATGGTATTTTGCATGGTAGCAAGTATATAGATACAGTTTTCCCAGCTCTTCCTGTAAGCTCCATGGTCCCTCCCACTAAATCTTTGTAGACACTGAGGCTGCAAAGTGCTGCGGAACCACACAGACAGGAATTTCACATTGGTCAGGAGTTACACTCACTGTATTCCCATATTTTGCAAGATCCTAGTCCATCCCTATTGCATCTTATACACATATGGTGGGACTATGAGACATCATTGAGGTCTGATTGGCAGAGCTGTCCTAAATCAGCATCTCTAAGGGAAAAAACACCACACTGATATCCTTTCTTTCCAGTTATTTATTTTACCTTGTAAATACCATATTTCCTTGTTTTTAAAATTTATTTTATGGAGAACATTTAGTTTGTGGTTTCTACATTCATACTAAAGCGTAATATTTATGCTGCACATCTGTATGCTAAAAACTACTCTTAAGAATAAACTTCCAGCTGTAAATGGATTCCATCAGCTTATCTACCCCTTCTCCTGCCCTAGTGTCTGGCACATTAGCTGTGGAGCAGAGCTGTGCAGAGCAGTACAACTGGAATATGACACAACTACCAGACAGACTGTTAGAGTGATAAATAAGCGTTCTAGCAGATGGAAGCTCTTTCCTACTTGCCATTTTGCAAAGTGCAAAAAGCACAGATCACTACAGCAGTGAGATTTGCTCCAGCTGCCACTAACAACCTTTGAAGAAAGATGCTTACAACCCCTGGGAAAAAGTCAGGGTTCTCTGTGACCTTTTGCAAGTATGATTTATTAACATCTAACTAAATTGGTTACAGAGACAAAAATAATAAATCTAGTTGCGCATCAAGGTACTCCAATGTTATTACAAATATTTGGAGTGAAGCAGAAAACAGGGATGGTCCTGGGTACAGAGAGACTTCTCAAATATCTGAAAGTCAGCAATAATTCTAATACATAAGATACCGTTCCTCATTCTGAAATCACTAATGCCCCATCAAAGCAAACAACAAATTCAGCATTTAGCAACTTTGTTTATGTAATACCTCGTATATGTGGGATGTTCTTACAATACTAGAACTAGCAAAATACTGTTAACACAAAGCTTTTCAGATTCTCAGGGATGCCAATCATCTCCAACATGTGGAGCTGATAGGCATCATCACCTCTTGTGGATCAGCATCACATTCTCTTAAGCTTTAATACAGTTTTGTTTTGCACATTAAAAACACCAAATCAACAATTTATAGTAAAAATAAATGAATAATTTAAAATAATTCTTTAAGATATGCCAACTACTTATGCGGAAAATTTCTCTTATTGCTTTCAAAAAGCTACAGCAAGAACAGTATCTAAGAACTGAGCAGTACAGTAATAAATTTGGTGGTAGGTTACAGCATTTGCTAAGTTTCAAAAGGTAAGCCAGATAATGTGCAATTCTTACGAGCCCACAGCTGCTGGAGTAAGTTGCACCCACCAGTAGGCTAGAAAATAGAAAGGATGAGTTAGTGAACATTGTGAATTTAATTTATTGTAAGAATAATTCATGAATGAAAACACACTCAACCAAAAAAATCACTCCTCTGAATAGCACCATCTCATTCTAGCCCTTGCAAGATGTATTCAGTTATGTGGATGAATTGATGTCATCTTTCTCTCTATTAAAATGCACCATGGGACAAGTTTTGCAATCCTCTTCATCTTGCCCCCTCTGCATGAGTTTACACAAAAAAGAAGCCATACTGAACAAAACAAGATATGTTGAAAGTTTCTTGCTTTTCCAAGCTGGTCATTTGGAGTGACAGCACGAGAGATTTACATAAACACAGATGCAAGGACATTTGTAATTAGGATCTGTTGAGCAGACACAGCTGCATATTTCCATAGCACACTACCCTTACCAGGTCTGACTCCAGAGCGTAAGAAAGTCTTTTTCACATTCAAGGAAAAGATACAGAAGGAATTTATGGGGGAAAGAATTTAACTACAGCCTCTAAGTATGATTTATCATTTGTTGCTATGGACTGTTTTCCTATTCATCAGTTTTTTTAATAAAGAGAAAAACAAGCCAGTGAATAAGGGACCACATAGAAAACCTGAGCAGGACTGTAAACAGCTGAGGGAAAGTGGGGGGCATGGGAAGGGGTGAGGTCTTTGTTAGGTTGGGTTTTTTGGGGGAGTTTGTTTTGAGACCAGCACTGGACTGTTGTGCAATGTGAAGCTGTCCCTGGTGGAGCCCTAATTTCTGATCCCATGCATTGGTGCTCTTTCCTACCATGACCTGGATTCAACACTAAGCTGCCAGGTAACACAGGTGACTGTGTTTGCAACTATTATGTCCTTCAGGGGCCAGATTTTAAAAGAAAGCAGCAACCCTGTTTCCAGAGAAAACTGGTTGGTGTTAGAACAGATCTCCCTTATCAAAATTAGGGCTGGTTTTGGTCCTTCTTCCAGGCATCTAACTTTCCAAGCTCTGCATAAAAAACCTAGGTACAGACTACTGGATCTGTACTTCAAAAAGTGTCTAAAAGAAGTAGTTCAGTGCTGCAAACAATCACATCAAGCATATCTCAGAGAGCAGAGATCCAGAAAGGAATGCAGTGATTAATGATGCTTTCTAGTTCCACTGGGTCTAAAGGGCACTTTATGCTACCCAGAGTTGCCTTCTGAAAAGTAATGCAGTTTTGTAGTCCCAAATTTAAACATTTACACAAAATGAGAAACTAAGCATCAAGCCTGCAAATCTGAAAGTAGAGCTGTGGGTTGCTGTTTCTATGTATAATATTTCCCTGGATTTTTTTATTTCTATACTTTACAACTTGAAAAATGAAGCAGGATTTCAACACCCAAAGGCTTGAGTTGCTCCATCACCTTGATGGAAGTTTGTAGTGAGGATTTTACTTTATGAAGAGACACACACAGAAAGGCAGGGCTGCACGAGTGCTTCTCAAACTGGCCTCCAAAATTGTATTAAACAGTGTTTATAAAGTCGTGAAATAAGAGAGCCACAACAGCAGGCAAGGGTCATCATGAAATTTTAAGACTGATCCATTGAGCTACACACCTGGGGGATCACAGCTGTGTATGAAAGGAAGCAGTTAAGTTGCCTGATACATTCTTTTTTACCAGTCAGGGTAGAAATAGTGAGTAAAAAGTCCCTCAGTGTCAGTTATTAAGAATAACAGTTGTCTTAGTTATACTGCAGAAAGCTAATATAAATTCTGTACCCATTAACACAGCTGAAGTTTCAGGGAAGAAAACTACCAAAATTTCATAGTTTACCAAGAATAATTTTATAGAATATATTAGCTTTGTGAATGTTGAATATATTTACATGCAGAAATACACAGAACTAACATCAAGACAAATTTCTTTCACTTCTTAATATACAGTCAACAGAAGATTAACAACTAAACCCAATTGTTTAATACAAAAGTAAGCAGGGAAAACTATACTGCAGTTGGAACGTGGGGTGAGAGGATCATTCACAACTGGTTACACTGTGTTTGGAGGTGTGTATTGTAGATGTACAAAAGGAGCAATTACTTGTTCAATGATTTTGCTTCATGCATTTAAGAAATGTCCTGGATTATTCTCAGGCATTTTTATGGAGACAGTGCTAAAAATTCTGGAGTTTACTTTCTTGATAGAGAAATTTTGATGAAGTTTTTATATTAAGGCACTGCTCAGCCCAATGCTTCTTGTCATTCATCCCATGTATTTTGGACAGTTTGGAGTGTTAGAGAAATCAGACTTGGCACTGCCAGTCTGATTTCTCAAAAATAATTACTCAAATACCCCATATGAGACTTGTTTTGTTTAATACCTACATAGGGGAATCTCCTCCACACACAGAATATACAAACCCAGCAATCAGACCAGGCAGTATCACAGTAGCTGCCAAATATGACAATGAGCAAGCTTAATGCAGCCTCCACAAATTTTGCTCCTTTTCTTAAAAGATTTTATTTCCTCTACCCTCTTTTGTTTTTAAATGAACCTTAATTTTAGTATAAATTGTAATTACCAACAGCAAGGATAATTGCAATAATCAACTAATTTCTGTGTGAGGTTTTGACAGTTAATACAAGAATAAAAGACAGGAAGGGAACAAGGCATGAAGAGAACCTAATTTTTCTTGAAAAGCCAAACAGCCCCCAAAGTTTAATATTTCCTTTGGAATCAAAGCCCAGATTTTAACCTTGCCTTGTTTAAAGATGCTGGCATGGTAGTCAAGTTTGTCGAAGAGATATTAATTAGATATAATTATGCTAACTTCTTTGGTACTAAATTATGGAAATGATGGTGAGGGAGAAATCCTGGGCAAAATGAGAAATGGTGAAAAAAGCATTCATCTGCCTCTGAGACAATGAGGCTTCAAGGTAACAGAAAGCAAAGTTAAAATATACATCTAATCTGACAGCACAGATTTTTTTTTTTAATTTAAAACCTTCATAATATTTCCTTCATGTTACATACAATACATAGATCCATTTTTAATAGATTTTCTTTAGAACAATGCAGCACAATTGCAGTAAAGTGCAAGCTTTTCTAAGCTATTAGTCTGTCCTCCTAGGAGTCTACTTCATCCATGCCATGTCAAGTTGTTCCAGTCATAAGCCAATTTAACATGGCAGCATTTGGGTTTGTTTTGTGTCTTTACAGTGGCATGTAAAGAAAAGAAAAGGGTGTGGTGACAGGATGCAGATCTATCACGTGGAAAACTGCATTGCTGCCAGAGTTGCAGACACACAGAGCAGATTAGAAGAACCTAATGGATCAGGCTTGGGTTGCAGATATGTGGAAATGCAAATTAGTTTGTTAATGATTATGACATTGTGATTTGATGGAAGAAAACCAAAAATACTGCCCATCTTCATTCAAAAGTGAGGCTTCTGCTACATTTGCTTCCTGTTAAATTTCTGACCTATGGTTTAGTAGTTTCACAAATGGAACCATACATATAAAATTACAGGAAAGGGATGCAATTGATTTAGTGCAAGACATTTAAATATTTATCTGAACTTAACAAACAAACAGAGGAAGATCAAAGACTCCATACACTTCTCCATAAGGCAGATGGTAATTTTTAAATATAACATCTTAAATATGTTATTTCTTAAGAGGTAGAAAATATCAAAATACTAGGAAAAATTTCTAGCTTAAAATAATCAGTTTGCTTACTTTTTAAAAAGTCTTACTGTTGCAATTTTTAAGTGAGTAAAAACAAATGAAGCTATGGAAGCACAGGATTTCGTGCTCTGTATAAGATTTCACTTATTGGAAAAAGAGAGAGCTTCTTCATCTAGTCAGTGCTCAAGCAGTATATACAAATGATCTCCTCTTCTTGCCCTGTTGGGGGCTATAAATTTGAAGTGAAAATTTTTCCCAGTGGAAAATTTTGGCGATTCCTGACTTTCTAGCACTACATTTAACCAGGTACAGTTTATGTGTAAGGCAGTAGAACCACCGATGTAAGCTCAGAACTACCTCTTCCATAAAGCTAAGAAGAAAGTTAATAGATACAAAAGCTTACTTAAATCTTTCCTGCAGATAGCAAAAGATCAGTCATATTCCAGCACCAGCTGATAATCTGTTTTAGCAATTTATACCAGCCAAGAGACAGCTGAACTACTCATTGCATTGTGGAAGCCTACCTATAGTTTGAGTTACTAAGGCTTGCACTCTTCATCAGCACAGCTAGGAGATGCTGATGCTACTGTCTCCAATGCAATTCAGTAAGGCATAGTTTAACTGACGTTATTACACATTGAAAAAGTAGTGTAAAAGCTCCTCTCTTTTCCATCTGTTAACATTCAGTACTATTTATTAAATATTTTATAAAAGGAAGTTAGGATATTTATACATTCAAACAATCACTGCAACAGTTGAGTAAAGGAAACAAATGAATTATCAGATTCTAAATTAAGCACGATTCTGGAGATATGCATATTTGCACATACCACATACATTCTGTATGTGTGTGTATATATAGGTGTGTATATATAGATATATAGTTATATTTTATACATATGTCTTTTAAATCAGATCCGAGAATACAGCACAGAATATCTTCACTTAGCTCCTCTTTCACCAGAGGACAGGATTGTCCAGTTTGGAAAAACCAGGTTCTTTTCTAAGTTCCATGTAGGTTCCATTGCTCACCCAGGAGTCATCGCTGGATTTCCTATCAAAGATTAAACAAATGTTAGCTTATATTTTCCATCCATATGCTGTGTAATGCAGTGTAGCACCATGCACAGATACCAAATCCAGCCCACAAACCAGGAGCACTGCAGCTCATTGCAGCCTGCAAACAAGGCAGTGTAGCTTGGTGTGTCTGCACTGGGCCATGGGGAGGCATCTCAATCTAATGTTCACCAGAGAACTTCACTCTTGAAGAGACAAATGCATTAACTCCTATCTGCTCTAATACTTTTGCTATATAATAATTAGATTTTTTATTCTGCCATTTAAATCTACAGGATAAATCTCAGCTTTCAAATCCTCATTGTAAGGATTCAAATCCTCATTCACAATTCTCATTGTGAATATACAACCACAAAGTATTAGACTTTCCCTCTATCCACCTTCCCTTTAGTAGGTGTGATTGGCATGTGATGAGTTAGTCCACCAGCTTGTCAGAGATGTAGTAGTCTATGCCATTCCCTTTTGCATCTATTTAAAACATTCCAGTGTTCCTCAGAAGTACAGTATAGATATATCCAGAAAAAATAGGGTCCCAGATCTACTAATAGGTCCATACAACATTCATCTAGGCTCCAACTCTTTCACTGCAGGAGAACAGAGAAGCTGGAGGGCAAAAGACCACTTCCACACCAGCATTCCTTTTTGTCTTTCAATACCTCAAGTCTCCTGTTTAACTGATTTACAGCAGGAGGAGATAAAGTGCCCTCAGAACAATAATTCTCTCCCCATAAAATAGAGGAAACATGTTCAGAAATAGCCCTGGAAGTGAAAGGCTCCAACTCTGCACACTTCCACACCAGGCAAACCCACTGAATTCAGCAGAGGTAATTGAGCTAAATCCATCTTGCTTCAAAGAATCAAAGGTGCTACATTCACTCAGGCAAATTCAAATGTAGACCAAATCTCAATTGCCACCAAGGCAAAACAGAAAAAAAAAAATTCAGGGATGCACTAATAAAAGACTAATACATAATTGTGAGTTCTAAGTCTGGAGTGTTCTACATCACCAAAGTACAAACCCAAAGTATATCGGGGAACCCTGGAAAAAAACTGGAGCCATGGCAATTTAACCTGGCAATTTAAAATCAGAGTTATAATAAGAATTTCAATAAATGATAGTATATGTCAATTATTATCTAGTACCTGAAAAATCTAGGCTGATGCTCTAGATTGTTTTCTTCTAGCACCTTCCGTCGTTCTCTCTGTAGCTGCTCGATCCTCTGCTTTTGCATTTCAGCTCCTTCAATATTCCCTTCTTCTAGAAACCTGCAGCAGCAGTGATATGAGACAATTGGTCTTCTGCCCCCAGAAGAATCTAATCTTTCCAGCAGGTATTTCACAGTGAAAGGTAAACAGCTACCTCTGCAGACAACTGCACTATGAAAAAGCACTTAAAGAAAGCTAACTCTTGTAACAAACTCAGAGTCAAGTTACATCAGATTCTTCTACCTGGAAATTTGCAAAAGTAAAAATTTCACTGCAGAAAGAAGTTTTAAGTGTTTCAGTTTTCAGTAATTCAAATACTGTATGCTCAACATCCAGTACCTGAAGTACTGAGGTTTTTACATCCTTGGAAAGGCAGTTATCTAGAAGCATCTAAGAGACAATTTTAGGACACAATTCCATAATGACTAGACCATCTCTCAATAAGTGAAACAATGTCTGTTTCAGATGCACATTAATGTAAAAATAGAAACACACTGCAGATATCCACAGAAAATAGTCTGAATTCAGGGTAGAGTGAGTGTACAGAAGATTAAGAACCATTTAAGGAAAATATTTCATAGGTAAAGCTTCTTACCTTTGGTCTGGCCTAAAACGTGTATCGGTGGATGGGAGTAATGACCTAGTTTGTGGGTCCAGTTCATTTAACTCCAGTGCAAATTGTGTAAATCCATACCACTGTTCATAATCTTTAGGCATTGGATCTACAGAAAAAAAGAATACATTCAGAATTCCAATTAAATGCTATTATGTTGAGAAAGAAAATATCAAGCTCCCTCCAGTCATTTATTTATGTCTGATCCACAGTGTCAGTTCTAGTGGAACAAGAGGTTTTTAATAATGTGACAAAAGAGAACATCCCCCTTGATAATTACACTGCAACAAGAGAGATTTCTGTTATCTCAGCTGAATCACAGCACAACTGTGATGAAGGCCATGCTATTATCATAATGTTTTTTCAAAACACAGCAGACAAAATTCCACAAGTTTGGGAGAAATTAAACTATCACTGTCATTACAGAATTGAGCTTTGTGGACTATCCTCCAGTGTTCAACACATGAAATAAACAACAATTCTGTGCATGAGCAGTAGGAGGACTTTGTTCCTTCCCCCCCCCCCCTTCCTGCTAAAGTTCTCAATACCTACTTCATTCTGAATATGAAAATGAGGGAGAATAGAGAAAATGCAGAAAGCCATGGGATTAAGTTCTCATATTATTTAAATTATATATTCTTCTGATCTAGTTTTTAAATGCTTGACAAAAATCTAATATTCTACTGGAAATTAACAAGAAATTGGGGCCTAATAAAGATATGAAAACAATAAGCTTATACTCAAGATCTCAGTTTGTGTACATGAGCAATTCTGATCACTCACTTGCTCTCCATATGCAGTTTGAAGATGAAGTTGTCCCACAGTATAAACTTTCATGCCACTTCCCAAAGAGTCGATGCACAACTTTCCCAGATTTATCCATGACACTGCCTTCAATCTCATGTGCATTTGGATTCCAATACTTTGCCTAGAATGAAAAGGAACAAGGGGAAAGAAGGTGCAGAGAAGCTCAAGTGCAGGCCGTTTTGCCATGCCAGTAGCACCAGGCTGTAGAGCAGTGAGAACTGTTCACTTAGGTGTGCATTACAACACCAAATGCAAAGAGCTGCTGTTAGTACCATTAAAATACAAACTTATTAGTATGTTAGCTTCTTAAGATACTAATGTTGAGAATTGTATTTATTTTGTTTGCCTTTTTTTAGGGAGAGGATGAGGTGAAGTGCAGCTGACCCTGAATTTTGCCCAAGGACAGTTGACCCTGAGTCCCGACTTGGTTATCGACATCTCTCTTTGCAGAAGAGAAAGAGAAGGAACTCATACATTAATCTCCAATCTTACAATATTAAAGGTGTGAGATTTGCAGGCTCTCAGTCTTAAATATTTGAACTTTAAACATCCAGTGCAAGTCTGAAAATACATTAAAGTACTTTCAAGTAAGTATTTGGGAAAAAAAATCACTCTAATTCTTAGAAAGCACAAAGTATTCAGGAAAATAAATAAAAACCCGCAAACTTGCTGCTAGGTACACTGAAGTACTGTATCCCTTGTATCTGTTTGGCCTGTTCTATGTCCAGCAGAGCCTTTATCCATCAATCAGATACAAAAAATGCAGGTTAAGGTAAGTCTCTTAGGATGATTTATTGAAGTATTTCTCAGGTTAGAAATCTTGGCATTGTTTTACATTTTCGTTGATTTTCCTTTACTACAAAGTCATCTATTACCAAAAACTGAATTTAATTGTGTTATAAGGACAATTCCTGAAGAAGTCATATATATTGTACATGTACAGAAGCAAAAGCTTTGAGTAAAACCACAACCTCTTACTTAACTCCTTTGAGAACCTGCAAAGGGCTAGAAAAGAGCATCAAGAGAAACACCCTGCATAAGCATTGGTCCTACAGCTGCTAAATGACCACAGCATTTGCCAGTGGGCTCACAGGAGGCATGTGGTAAACCACTGTCAGTAGTTAGCTTGTGCCTATGTCTCTCATCAAACCCAGAGTAGGTTTTTCATTATATTCCTTTCCCCATAATTCCTCCATTTCCAGTGGAATCACTCAAGAAAACTGTCGCTTCTCTTTTTTGTCTAGTGAGTGGCATTTCCTTCAAAATTACAGTTTTCAAGGAATCACAGGTAATTACAGCTTGTAAGCAGAAGTACTGAGCCTCACAGAGAGCAACCTCCCACTGCTGTGCCTGTTAGAAAAGGCAGTGCCAACACTGCTGTGGTTACCTTTATGAAAGTCAGTTTGCAGTGGCACGTGTCATCATTAAGATTTTTTATGATGATCTCTCCATAGTGTTCAATCCATCTTTGTCCACTTAAGATGTTATGGATGCAGGATGTCACCTTGTTCCATGCAAAATGGTCTTTAAAGCTGTAAGGAAAAATACACACAAGAAAATTCTCATGCCATGTTCAAGTGAGCTCAAACTTGAGGAAAAATATTGCAGAGAACATGATTAGAGGAACCAAATAAACCTTTTCTTTTTTACTAGAATGCTTCATCTTCTCATTCCAAGCCTTCTCAAAAACAAAACCTATGACAACAATCCCACCTCCCAGAAAATCCTTTTCTCTTCTGTTATATACTGTGGTCTTGAATTCAGTTTTCTCTCAATTTACTTGTCCTTCTAATTAGTTTTAAGTTTCCAGAAGTACTAATTTTGGTGTCTTCTACAGTCTGAGATGCCCATTCCAAGCTTGTAACACAGTGACAATGGAGAACACAAGGACATGGGCCACCAGAGTGATCTGAACATGTACTGGGAAGAATAAGCTTGGCTCAAGCTCTGAAGGCTGAGCCTAATAGGTGTGCTTTAGGCACGAGCCAAAGTTCTCACCATGAAAGTTCAAGATGTAGTTGCACACTGGGAAACAGCAGACAGGGAGAGATAAACAAATACCAGTAGGGAATACAACATTTTACCTTTTATGAAAGAAGTAGATGCTCTTATAGAACAGCTTTATTAAGCATCAAGGAAAGGAAAGTCTCATGAAGACATATATTCTTCAATTTGTTCTGGGTATGAATGGCCAACTCACTACAGGTAAGGTAAAACAAACTTACAAAGCACCAGTTTCCCCACAGCAAGTGCCTCACACACATCCTGTGAAGTTATTAGCACCTTTCCCTACCTCCCCTTAATCACTTGCTTTCACTTGCTGCTTTCTAAGGGCACACACAAGGACACTTTCTACAGACTTGCAGAAATGCAGCCAATTTATCTCACAGTAACTTGTTTTTCTTCCCTTACCTATGCATGTCATATGTTATCATAAATGCTAAAAATATGTATTTGTTTCAAAATTAACCTTAATACTAATGCTTAATTTTTCCCTATAGCCTTGGCATCTTTTTTGTACCTAATTCTGTATCAAATACACAGGGATACAAACCAGCATATGGAGATCACATATGAAACAGATTGCTTCCCAGTTCATCAGCCCATCATAGGCCATAATATATATTAATTATTTTGGCTCTGAGCACTCATTCACATCCTAGAAACCTTTCATTTCAAAGTTTAGGGCAGGTGCTATGAACACAACATGGTTTATACATTACCTTTTGGATATTATCCTACTAGACTACAATTTTATCTACTTAAAAAAAAGGCATGCTTGATTTGATGAGTGCTAGGTTCTTGAATTCTTTGGGTTTTCTTTTTTCAGATGGCAGATTAATTAATTTTGTACTCTCTCACTGGAAAACAGATTTAATTGGAACAATACTCAACCTTTAGACCTCTGGTTCTGCAAACATGATGGATATAGGCCAAATTTTAAGGGATTTTAATTGCTCATCAATAATGGGCACTCTGACAAGCCTGCCTTGAAACACTGCAGATTTTTATTTAAAAAAACAAAAGGAAACAAACCAACTATACTCAACACTTCACTACAGTGGCTGCTTCCTTGGATAATGAACACCAGATAACTGGTTCTACTTATCACTTAGAGTAATTATTTCTGCAGTGATGGTGGTTGTTGGTCTTGCCTACAGCCCAGAACACTCCATGGTGCCAGGGTCCCTACAAATATAGCCAAAAAAGACAAGAACACCACCATCTCTTCCCCCAAACCCATACTCAAGCAGAAGAATTCATAGCTTTCTTTACCCTACCGTTTTTCCCTGTGAATTTAAAATACATTAGGGTTGAAATTCAACTGAAGTATGAAAATACCAACTGTTCTTTTTTCAGGGTGCACAGGAGCGATGGGTTTTTTTTCATTGTTTTGCATAATTTTTGAAAGAGTCAGTGCTTCTGATTTATGCTTCTGGTTTTGGTTTGGTGGGGTCTTTCTTCCTCCCCTTTTCTCTTTAAATGAAATCATAGCCACCAGCCCTTTCAAAGGGCAGAGCAGAGCTCGCTGTCCTCTGAATGAACGTGGCTCCAGTGTGTGCAAGCACCTGTGCCTGTGCATGAACAGCAGTGCCAACAGCAGCACTTACGCTGGAAGGGTTACGTGTGTTGTGCCAACTGGAACAATCTCCATGGACTTCCCCCAGAATTTGTTTTTCCATCTGACATCTGGAACAAGAAGTAAAAAAAATACAGGTTGAGTCACAGGTAGGTGAATCAGGCTGTTTCTGGGCTCTACTTTATTTTCAAGAAATTCAACAAAACAACGTGCAACAGAAGTGTTTCAAGATGGTGGTGGGACCTTCAAATACTTGTTGGTAGGTTTGGTGTTGTTGCTGTTTGTTTGATTTTCATCATAATATTGGTTATTTAAATAGCAAAGTAACATGTTTAACAGTTTAAGATGTTTAACAGTCCTTGCAAAAACTTTTTTAAAGAAAGAAATTTGAATAAGGTATAAACAGCATATATTCATCTGCAAGTCAGTTGCTAGTGAATGAATGCAGACATTTTCAAAAACAAAAGCAAAATTTCAAATACAAAAATATAACAAGAACATCCACAGTTAAGAGGCTAAAGAAGGTTTCAAAGGGCACAAAATGGCAGAGGGTTTTAGTCCAGCTCCCTCTGTAAGTTTGATCTTTTGAAATCCTGTTTGAATCACAGAAATACTGTCCAAGTCTCATTTTTCTTCAAAAATATATATATAAAAAAAGAAAAGTCAATGCAAGTTTAGTTAAATTTATTGAGCAAAAGCACCTGGAAGAGAAAAAAAAGAGAGGAGCATGGCAAAAAAGGTGTACAGTTAAATTGGGCTAGATAATCAGGCAGTAACTTTCATGGTAACTTCAGAGATCAGAGGAATAGTACCCTTCCTATTTTAGACTCTAGGAACTCCATTCCCTGCCCAACCTGAAAAAGAGGGAAAAATTCAACTCTAGTCTCAAAAAGATGCTAGTTCTAACAGAAGGAAAACAAAACACCGTTTCCTGTGCAATTCTGGGGGGAAATTCTTACACTGGTTGTGAGATGGATGCTCAAACCACAACTAAGAGATTACTCGGGTATCTCCTGAGTGATGTATGTGCAAGTGAGGAGTGAGCCACACTGAGCTGCCTATCATTGAAAAGACTAGATATAGGGCAGAATTCTGCATGCAAAAAAGTTACTTTTTTATCATGTGAGAAAAGGACCTTTTGGGTTTTTTGGTTTTGAAGTCTAATGCTGGGTCAGCATCTTCTGTGACAGCAATTCTGTTGTGATTCCTACACTGCACAAGTGCTCCAAAGCTACTTCCAGTATGATGTTGCTGAGGAAATTCTGTCCTGGCATTCTCTCTTCTGCAGTGGGATGGAAGAGAAAGGGCAAAGGTACACCCTACCGAGTTTAACAGTTAAAGTGTATTACCAGATCGTGCCAAATTCTATGTTCTCATAAACGGCAAAGCTGTCCCACAGAAATCAGCATGTGGGAAACATCTTGAGAGCTGGGGTGCAACTTGATCACGCAATAATTTTAGGACAGAAGAGAAAAAGCAAAGTGTTATTTCAAAGCTATGCTCACACTAATTCAGGCACAGATGCTGGAATAGCTGAAATGTCCTTCATTTCCACTGCTCATGTGTTGACACTCCTCTGCAAAAGCAGAGCCAGCTTCACAAGTCATGGAAAGCTGTTTCCAAACTATCAGTCCCTATGAGAGCCCAGTCTTCAGTTCATGAGACGTGACTGGGAGACTTCTTGCTGATGGAACACATGAACTAAGGTCAGTGTCTGGTGGGATGACAGCACTACCCTGGCAATGTTGCTGTCTCCTTTTCAGCTGAGGAGGTGACACAGTAAGTGAAAATGTCTTTGCACACAGAAAGAACTGAACTCACTGACAAGCTGCCTTTATGATTAAATTGGTGTTAATCTTTCCATGTAAGTTAATGCAGACTCATTACAAGAGGTTGCAGCATTTAAAACTTGCCTTTACAATGGAAAAAAAAAAACCATTGTCTAGCCCTCCCATGAGCTCAGCTAGCCATATTTAAAAATAAAGCAAACAAAAATCCCCAAGACCTGCTGCACCCTCATTGAATGTCCTGTGCTCATAAAGACCAAATCTCAGACTCTCACATTAATCAAATTCTCAGCTCTCATTAGAACTTCATTCTCTAAATGGAAGTGTTAAAATATTTGAATGATAACAGTTGTCAAGATTTGTTAAACAAATCAGTCTCGTCTATTTTTATTAAGACAAGCTGCTATCTGATCTTATTTATACAGTGTTCAAGTTACTGAAGAAATTTTTGGTCATCTTAGCTTTTGGGCTATGAACAAAAGGATTCTTGTGTCCCTGTATTTGTTTACAAAGCAAAGAATTACACAGAATAATAAAACCCAGACTAATGGGTTCCAATGTCTGTTCAGTATGGTTCCATCTGTAATAACTATAATCGAGTCAGCAGAGCCAATCAGGGAAAAAAAAAAAGATTACAATATGGCCACATTGTGATTTGACAAACCCCTGGGGTGAAGGATTTTAAGTGAGTTAAAAGGCATGGTTATGTTTTGTGTACGCTCTAGAATTATTGAATCACACAGGTGCTCTTACTGGATGACACCTTCACTAGCAACACACAGCAGACAAAGCTCCAACACATATCTTTTGGAAAAAAAACAGTAGTCAAATAGCACAAAATCTTACATACTGTAGTAATACCAGCAGAGAAAGAGAAGGTAAATGTATTTATCCTTGCTGTTATGCTCATTTTTGAAAATTGCTTTCAGAACAGGTTTACAAGATTTGCCAAGGTTCAGGATTTAACTTGTAGTGTTTTCATGCTGTCTTCCAGCTTGTTGGTTTTATAAATAGCTTGACATACAATTCTTCTTTACTAAAGAAACACATCCCCCCCTAAAACCCCAAACAAACCTGATTTTAAAGAAAAGCAGATATTTATACATGATAATAACAATCAATTAATCTTACATGAAAAAAATCCAAACAAAGCAAAGTCTTATGAGAGCTTTTATAGTAGCAGAAGATCCAAATAAGAAGCATACAAGTATAGGCTAATATTTCATTAAATCATTCTAATACAAACTTAGGCAAGGAATTTCAACTTTTCCTAATTTCTGGATATTTTCTGTTAGACATAAAATGAAAACATTATGAACACTGTAAAAGTAAATGATAGACTGAAGACTTACCTTGCCAAAAAGCAAAATTTACAGATTCAGCATGGCATGCAGAAATAGGTGGGTGGTGACTGACCTAAAAGCAAGACATGAAAGGAGAGGGGGAAGAAAGATTAACATATGAACACTTGAACAGTCATTTTGGTTTGGCTTATTTTGTTTTGTTTTCTCCTTCATTCCCATATGGCATTTATAATTTGAACATTAGTTTTCACTTTGCAGTTGTGTCCTGAAGGGGGAGGCAGTGAGATTAATAAAGGTTCTCAGACCTAAGAAACCTTGAAAGAAATGGGAAACATTTATTTTAAAAGACCTGAGACTTTGTTTGAGTGAAAATCTAGCTATATACTTTGTACATTGTCTCTAAGGTGATAATTAAATTTACCCTTAGGACCTCTTAACAGATTAACAAAAGCCACTCTTTGAGTGCAGAGACAAAAATTTTCAAAAAAAATAAAAACACCACAAAGAACCAAAAACTTCTGTACCGTGAATAACCACAGAACACTGAGGGAGGAGATAGTGATCAGCATCTCTAATTGGGCCAGGGGTGAAGAAATCAAGCCAGGAAATTCCATCCAGCAATCCCTACTACTGCAGCAGTGACACCCCAGGTGTTTCTAGTGTGAAACTCTAACCACATGCACTGCATTTTATCAGCTTTGGGCAATAGCATGTGCAGGAATTAGGGCAACCACCAAAGTAGCAAAGCAAAGACTGTGAGAAAATAAACAATTCAGACTATTAAAATGCAACAGTAAATAAAGAAGCACAAAGTGGAAGCAGCCACTCTTCCTCTATTTGAATTCTCCCTTCTGGGTGAACACAACTAACAACTGACCAGGGCCAGCTCTTAAGATGTGTAATGCCTGCTGTTCCTTGGGCAGCTTTATTTTCAAGTCAAATTGCTATTTTCCACTATGAATTTAATTTCTTAACCATCTACATGGCTCAAATCAACTTTTACCTTTTTTTTTATTACTCATTTCACAAATCTCTTACTGAGCATTTTTTCCCACAGGCATCCAGTTTTGGGGTTTTTTTTTGATTAAAAACCAAAAAAGTATTAATTATTTTCAGCTATGGCCTAATCCAGCAAGAGCAACACTCTCTCTCTTACATAGTGTACCCAGATTAACCCCAGATGTCACTATAATACATGGGTTAAGCTGAGCTCTCATTTAAACTGTTATACTTCCAGAGTAAGGTCATGTTGCTAACAGGAGTTATTCTAAACTCTTGCTAGTGATTAAACAGAATCTTTGTTACTTTTGTATTTTCTGTGAGTCCATCCCATACCATTCTGCCTGCGTAATCAAGGTATCTGGAGTAAGCATCAAAATGCTTGTGCAAGCAATAAGCCACTGTTCCTGATGTAAAGATAAATATTTAATGCTTGGAAGTTGCATTAAAGTTCTTTCTTCCCATACTCCCCTCTGTTCCTAACATTTCTCCACCCTATATTCTTAATTTCACCACTCTAAACTCACCTCACTTTTTTCTCATATTAGAACAACAGTTGTTAATAGCACAAGCCCATTCATGTAGTAAAATTCTTCTTTTAGAAGCTAGTCTTTGTACTCATTTACCCAATATTCAAGTGAAAATATCTTCCTTTATTTCAGTGTAACATTAAACTCATTGCTAACCTTTATTTGCCACTTTGTTACTCAAATTTGCAGTGCTCTATACACATCATTTTAGTACTGAAGTAGCACAGTGATGAACCAGATACATGAACTTGAAATTTTATTCACTTTTGACTGTATTACTTTCTGTTGGGTTTTCTTCCCCTCCTTATTTTTACTCTTGCCTGTGACATTTCCTGAGACTAAGAAAAGATAATAACATCCCTTTTTGTCAATTCTAAAACATAATGTGCAAAATGTTGTACCTTCACAGGCGGTCAAAAGCACTTTTCATTTCCTAAAGGAAGTCTTTTAGAAGTCTTTCTCTGATCAAATTTCTAGGTTGCACACCTTTGCCCACTTGCACTTTTTGTAATTTTTTTTATGTCTAGACAGAATAAGACAGCTTTCATTCATTCTTACTTTGCTAGGCACCAGGTATTTGAGTTTTATCTCTTTTCAACATACACTTCAACTTGAGCAATTTTGGTAGCTTGGCTGGTTTAAATTTAGTATTTTTCACCCATACTTAATAATTATTCTCCTGCTGGGGCATTATCTTCATAAACAATCAGACCATGATATGCTACCTTCACCTACTCATCAGCTGTGGTTGCAACTTTGAAAGGCTTTTGCTACCAAATATTTGGACAGGAAGCAGAAATAGTCATGGTGCCATTGGAAATGCTTGTGGTTGATTGACTCACACGAGGGATACGTTTGTTATAAAAGAAGACATGAAACAGCTGAAGATACAGTATTTTTAATGATCACACGCAAAAGAAAATGACAAGAATGTAAACTTTTGTTGCAGTTGTGATCAGATTTCAGCATGGGGAATTGCACTCTACTTAACCAAGTTATTTTGTTACTGGAGCAGGCAGCCTGCCAGCCTTTGCTCCTCGAGTGTCAGCTGCTTGTGGTGACGTTCCATGCCAGACTTAGCAGACTTTCCTCAAAAAACAATTCCCTTTGTTTATAATTCAGCAAGTTCCCTTGGTTTTTGCTGGGCTCAGGTAATGTAGAGTAATCTAGTATTTTGCCAGTAACTCTAGAGAATTCCAGCCACACATTTAGAATTCAGCAGTGTATTGAGTAGCAGTTCTAAGGGCTGCAGCATACAATACCTGTTCTGCAAAGAACTGGAAACCCTTATCTTCACGAATACATTCATAGGTTTCTCCAAGCACAGGATTAAATGGCTTACTTCCAGCTCGGTAGTAACTGGATGCATAGGCAGAGACTGCAAAGGCAGCTATGTACACCTGGGAAGTATATATTTGGGACTTAGATTAATTAATTTACAACAGACACAAAAAAAAAATAAAAGTAAGCTTTATTCTGATTCTGTATTTTTCCCTTCATTTGCAGGCTACAGACATGCATGCCTCCTGTAAGCTAAGCCCCAGTTCACACGTTAGAGGATTATTCAATTTTCAGAGTCATTCAATAGGTCATGGATAGAATTGTTAGGGTCACATACTGCAAATTTCATCCACTGAAAACAGCATTTCTGAAAAGTGTTTGAAACAGTTTAGCATTCTGCAACACAGTTCAGAGAAGTAACCTTAAAAATCACTGTTAAATTTCGTATAATATCTGGTTTTTATAGTTACATCTGTGACTCTATGAATGTACCAACTATCCTTTTCATAAACATGGCACAGGATGTACTGAATAAATTTTCACCAACTTTGCTCTTTCTAATGCCATTTGACTTAAATTGCTTTTTGTCTACTGGGTGCTATTATCTAATAATGAAACTGTTGATCATGACTGACACACAGGTAGCCCTTCCAAATTTTTGCAGTCAACTCAAGCATAACATGAGGAATTAGAATTCAGGGCTGTTTGACTCAAGACTCTTTTGTAACACATTTTTCCCCTCTTTTCACTCCCTTTTCCTCATCTTGTGAAAGTGTAGATACTCTCTTCTCACAGTTTCAGAAAACAAATCCACTGAAGATAGGCTCTTTTATGAACTACTACAATTACTATACAACAGCTAGCATTAAATTTTGCTTCAGGAATTTCTCAAAGGCAAAGAATACACTAGTCTTGAGGTAATTTCCAGATGCTTGGGTGTGGGGAGGAGGGAAAAGGCTTCTTTTCCCTCCTTTTGAAAAACTACTGCTTATTTCCTTTTCTTTTTAGCATATGTTCTCAAGAGTACAAAAAAAGCTATGGACTGAACCCCAGTGAATGAACTCACCCTGGGAATTGGCCCTAAATTGTAACCCTTGAAAGTGTTAGAATGAGGAAAGAGATTTTTCAAACAGTATTTATAATGTGACTACCTGCTTTCATTAATAACTTCATTTTGAGATAAGATACATTGAGTTGAAAAGGCTTAATTCAATTTGTGGGAAAATCTGTATCTTCCATTTAAGAGAATTTAGGGAGCTTCTAATCCTTTATTTATGGGCTTGCATATTAAGTAGCTCTTGTACACCTGGAAGCAGAACAAAAAATGCGTTTCTCTCTTGTTCTTTTGCCAAATGCAGAATTCAGAGTTCTGCACTAGAAAAAGATGACATCATTCTGCACAATTCTGATGATTGTACCCAGCATACAGCATACAGCCTGGTTTTGAGATCCTGAACATTTTGGATAAACACAAAAACTTCAGAAAATCAGTTAATAAGAAACATTGAGCTCATTTAGTTAATATAAAGATATCACACTCATGTAGAGCTGGAAGATCCAGCATCTCTATGAAGAAATGTGTTACCACATCAGACATCCTTGAAAAAGATCTATTGTAGCTTTTATCTTTGAGAGGGAACTAAGTTTAATCCCCTCCTCCCTTTTTGATGTAATTTTTTAATATTGGACAGCAAAAGCTGCAAAACAGAAATAAGCTCCTTTTTTGTTTAAACTTGCAGAACAGCAAGGTACTTGAGGAGAGAGAGCCTTTCTGAAAAAGCAACAGAAATGGAACAGAAGAGTCAAAAATAATGGCTGTATGAGTATGTACAGACATTTGGAGAGTGCCTCTCAGCTGAGAGACACAAAACAACGGAATAGAACATCTCTACTTCTTCAGCACTGCTTTCATGCTTACTCTATTCTGATTCTGTTGCATGTTCCTGAGTATTGGGAGTCGGGTATTTACCATGCGCTCGCAGGGGTTTGGTGTGTGCGCTGCTTTGTCCAGGAGCTCGCTGTACTCCAGCTCCTCGCAGAGGCGCTGCAGCGTGTTCAGCGGCTCGTTCAACTCAACGGGCATGGCCACCTTGGAGAGATCCTTTCCTATGTTATTCCTCAGGATATTCCACAGGCTGATGTTACTTGTGTTAGGACATGGTGCTGGTAAACACGTTCTCCGTTTAGAATTGCATCCAATTCCGCTTTCAGAAATACAATCTGAAAAGGAAGGAAGTGGCAGAACAATTAAATTCACATTTTCTTAGTTTCATCCCCCTTTGCAAACATACATTAAAATGCAACCATCTTTCCTTCTGTCAAAACTTCCTTCCACCCACGAATCACTTAAGTATTTCACTTGTGGTTTGAGCATAGCCTGTTATAAAAATGACAAAATTAAGAATCACATTTTATGTACATTAACGGAAGTAAAATGCCAAGTACAAGAGATGCATAAAAATTACCTTCTTTTCCCTTAAAATCTGTAAGAAAAGGCTCAGACTTTCCACTGAATTTGAAAGAGTAAATATTATAACTATTTTATTTGTAACAGAGATGGATTCCTATCTGTTTAGGGGACATAAAACCTCCTTCCTTGACAGAGCTTCAATTAAGTTGACACATCTCAGAAGGCAAGATGTAACTTACAGATGCAAGAATAATAACTACTCCTACTGATCTTTTCCTCCTTTGCATACTCCTACCACCTACTGTACCACGAATTTACATTCAGGCTTTTCCGCATTGCTCCCCATAGCATTTAAACTTAGCGATGTTACTTTGAGATATGACCATATATTGATGGAAAACTGACGTGTTTTAAGGTTGGAAAAGCTGAAGCAACTTTAGATCTATGGGTTTGCTGAAGATGGAAAAAAAAAAAAGACTCAAGTGAAGAGTCCTTGACATGAATATCTGAAGTCTGTGTTCTTATATCAAAGCACTTAGAACAGGATAAATAGCTCTAAGTGTGCCATGACAGGATTTGTAGCAAAATCCAAATAGAGCTACAAGCTTCCACAACAGGCACTAGTCTCAAGTGATTATATTGCATAGCTGTACATCACTTTAGTTTCAGAGAGGAATGTGTTTATCACTACAAGAACATATTTTATCTTTCCACATCCTCAGGAGCACCTAGGAAGCTCCTGCCTTGGGATCAGTTACTATTTGGAGACTCTCGGGCATAGCCCTCAGTCTGCCAACCCCTGTCCTTTTTTGGCTTTCCTCACACAGCTCTGTCTCGAAGGAATTAAACCCACACTGGGGTTTAATTCCTTCTATCTCTTTCTGTGCTACAAATGCCTGAAGAATCCCTGCCCTTAAATGCACTTAACCAGTGCTTCCTCTTCTCTGCCACTGACATAAGCACTGCATCAGCAGTGCTTACAGCAGTGACAGGTGACAAGGACAAACTTCCCCATGCCTGCCATGCTTCCCAGCCCATGCCTCACGTGGAACATTTAAAGGGTAATCAGTATCCTCAGAATTTTGAGGAAGGAGTTTCCATCTTTCCTGCCACTGGCAAACTAGAAGTCCTAATTCCTCATATGACTGAGTTAGTCTAACAAGGTTAAGTGAACTATTTGCAGCCCCTTGCCTGTATCTTTCTTTTTGCTTAAAAATGGCATGGGCACTATGAGTCCAAAAATCTACCTGAAACAATTAATGCAGTTGAGTGCTAAGGAGCTGACTTTTATACTTCCCTATTGGAAGAATTTATTTAATATCAGAAGAGGCCGAAAAGGATGTTAGATAACTGAGGAATGAGGTAATACAAAACCTTATCCTTGTTTAATCCCAGAAATGGGATTTGGCTATGTCTTTTTGACAGTTTATGATTAAAAACAGGATACCAATTGGCTCATTTACATATTCTGGACCAGACCATTGATTGAGGTAAACTGCTTAAAAAACAGAGTAGAGCAAGAACTTCATTGCTTAGAAAATCTGGCATCTGAGTATTGAAGTTTGCCTAGTCCCCATTACGAAAGGCTAAGCCAGTTCTGGTTTGTAAGAGCTGTGACAGACAGGATGAATGCCACAGGAGGTTTAGACATCTGACCTCCAGTTAGAGTCAATGACTTTTGAAGCCAAACTGGACCATTTTCAGCATCTGATCTGACCTTCTACATTACAGTGGCCAGAGGATTTTGTCATAATCTCACAGTTTATGGTGCAGCTAAAGCCCTGTAGGAAAACAACATCCACTTTTCTATTAATGGCAGTGGCAGGCTGCCCAAAGCACAGAAATAGCAGGTACCAGAAGCATGCAGAGGTGCTTCTCATACTGAAAAGCTTCAGTGACAGGCTTTGATTAAAAAAAAAAAAAATGAACTGCCACATTAATACAGCTTTCTAAGGTCCAGATCATGAGATAAATTCATTTGTATGCTTTCCTATCTTAAAGGAAAGAATTAAAAATTCTTAATTTTGAACTGTTACAGAATACATATCAAACTACCCAAGTTCATAGGAATCTGCTGGTTCTTGGAGATTATAAAGAAACAGCTTCTAGTGAGAAATCACTGTTCAGCATTTTTGAAAATAAAAATATATTGTTAGACTGATAAGAACATTGTGGTTAGCTAAAATGAGTTGAAGGCACAAAGCCAATTAGGTTGTAACAACCAATTCTCCTTTTTTTGAGTCTCTTTCTAGAAGGACAAATTAGCATAGGTACTAACAACACTATCATGATTAATACATGCAAGAAAGAAATTCTTATGGTCATGCACCAGAGGTGCCAGTGAGTAATTATTCTCATATTCCTTTAAACACTGAGTTCTGCTAAAACAGTAGGAATTTTGAAAGCCGTTGCTAAATTGCAGACTGAAGAAACCAGTGTGACAAGAAAAAAAAAGCTTTTTGAAAAAATGAAAGCAGAACTTTTTTTAAAAAATGAAGTCAAGAAAAGAGGTGTTTCCCTGATGATAAAGAACCACCATCCTGCTTAATCAACAGTGCCCAGATAAGCAGATTAGCTAAAATCTGCTGTTCCAAACCAATCTCAGTCTATACAGCAAAAAACAGGCTTTCCACATCTCAAAACCCATAATATCAAATTATCTAGTAAGAGAAGAAAAAAATATCCCAAACAAACAGAAACAAAATTCTCAAAACATGGCATAAAAAACCCACTGAACTTACCTAAAGTTTGTCTTTCATTCTCTATGTCATTGCTAAGGTTATCTTCTGACACATTATCACTGATATCACTTACATATGAGTCATCATCTGATACCTGAGTGTGGGGTGGGGAAAAAAGCAAGATACACCACTCATTAAAATAACCCCAAATGCACGTGGACATCAATACTTTCAGCTGCAATTATTGTTTTAATATAATTGAATGGTGTAAGATGTCTTTCCTAAGGACACACAATTGAGTTTGGGACAGATGGCTGAAATTGAAATTTTAACTTGAGTGGAGACATGCTTCCTCTCCTTGGCCTCACAACTAAGGCTTTCCTTATATCAAAAGCCAAAGTTTCTATGGAACCCAAAGATCTAATAAATTGCAATATGCATGACACCAGCCTCAAGGGACTTACAGGTACCACAAGGACAGGTATGAAGAAGTATTTTTGTGGTATTTTTGTGCAATTCCCTGGGCACCTGCATAATGACTCAAGGCAGACTACAATGTCTGCATACGAGCTACTTAATTGCCTTCTCCCTCTCTGTTTATGTAAGACTTCTTCATAATACTTGCTACCCTTTACAGTGAAGAGACAATGACAACAAATAAATATAAATGGCATATTAATTTCTAAATGTTTTGAAAATTTAAATTTTCTGGCAGTCTTCTGATGTACAGTTAGTGCTCAAAAAGATTGTCTGTCAATAAGCAGATAAGAAAATACATCTGAAGGATGTCAATCTTGCTCAGACCTCATTTTCTGAAGAACTAGCAGACAGCAGGACTTCCTGTGCATCAAAAAATTCTGTGAGAGAGTCAGCGATAGACAGTCTGCTTTCATTGGAAACCTGGTGAACCAGACCTCTGCCTTCCTCTCTTGAATTTTCCTGTTTAAAAGAAAAAAAAAAGTTTTGAGTGGCGCAGTAGTACAAACAACATGCAATTCCACAGACTCCTAACTTTAGGGGCTGTAAAACACTGGGAGAAAATTGCACATGCTCCTCTCAATTTACATGAAGGATAGCATGTGTTTTGAAGTGGGATTTAAAACTGAAGTAAAACAGACCAAAGGGAAGGAAAAAGAAGGAAAATAAAGCAATGCATATTCAGTAAATCACCTAAGGTGCTGCATATAAAAGTGCTTTGCTATTTGAATGACTTAGCCAGGTATATCCAAGTGGATAATCAAAAAGCCCACAAAAGAACAAAACTCCCATCTCTTTATATTACACCCTAGATTCACATTCCTTCCTGATCTTAGCAAATTAATTAATCTTTTCCTGCTCAAGCCTTGCTTAATGCAAAGCCTGCCATAGAGTAGTCTACAAAATTCAGAGGGGTAAAGTTGCTTTCTTTATAATAGTATGTTTTCCTAGCTCTTTTTCTTCACCAATTTTCTATGCTATTCTTTGGAAATCACTCCTTCATATCCACACCTGAGATATCTCCATGTTACCCAAAACCAACATATCATTAAAGCCATATAATTGGAATTGCTTTTGCTGCTGGAGACACACTTGACTGCCACAGGGATCTTGGTAGTCCCTCCTATGGAAGCACTACAGATCATTGGTGTAAGCAGAACTCCAAGAGGTGGCCTGGCAAAGGTGGGGTGACCAGTGAGACTTCTCATTCTGTGGTGGCAGTAGAGAAGTTGGAGGAGCTCTTTGCTACGGTTTTCCCTGACAGCTCCATGAAAAGGAAATGAGCTATACTGGCCCAAATGAGTGTATTAGCTGCTCTCAAGATTTTCTGCATGAGGTGTTTTACTAGCTTATAACCATGACTTCCACATCATAATTTTTCAGGAATTATAGTATTTTATTTTCAGAACAACATCATGAACAACATGACAAGCCCAGAATCAAGCTGACAAACCTTCTTTCAAAGCTTTTCTGTTGGTAGGTTTTGCTGTCGTATGGATTGTTATTCAGTACACACTGATATTGGTGACAAGGAAACAAAATAAACTGCTCTACAAAAGACTTGAAAAACCCCTCCTTTTACAGCACGGATAAAAGATTAACTCAACATTGTCCCTCATAGAAAAAGGCAGTTACATTAGCCTGCAAGTTTAAAAAAAAAAAACCTTACACATAAACATTGCTACTGGGATTATTTCCAATACTATTTTGAATCTGAGAAGGAAAGTGAGCAGGAAAAACTCATAAAAGAGCATCAGGTTTTTATATCTAACATATAAGCTTCAGTTTTTCTTGTTCAATATTCCCACTTTGGCATGATGAACTACAATTAAATTACCCAATAGACAAACGAAACTTATGCAAAGGCTTGAGATACTATTTTATACTGCTTCAATTTTCACAGGTGGCTGACAGCACCCAATGTATCATTTAGTGACAAGTTTTGTGCAGTGGCCTTGTCTTCCTCAAAGCAGCATTACTGTATCATAGTCCTCACACAGTCTTAAAATGAAGCTTCTCCAGTACAAGCGATTCCATCCTTAGATGCCATGCCAGAGGGAATTTGTGAATGCAACCTCCAAAGGACCTTCTGAAAGCTATTTTTGTCATGTGTGTCACTTTGTGTGTGTATAGCACATAGCACAAGTTTCAGAAAGAATCCATTGTCATTGCAAGGACCTCCACTAAAAAAGAAAATAACTCCTGAAACTCAGTAACAATGCATTAATGCTTTTCTGGATAGCAGTTTAAGGGCTGTTCAAATTCTTGTGGGTTTTAAAGCAAAAAGCATCAGAATGATCAACTACCTAAAGGAAAAAACCCAAAACTGAACAGCTAAATATGACCAAAACACAGCTCCACTGCACCAGAACTGAACCAGAAGTGAACAGATGGAATCTGTTCTGGAATGACTAAACTGTCTTTAAAAATAAAAGTCCCAGCATTACATGCACTCAAGTTCTAATGAAAGATTTATACTACAAGCACACTACAAGAGGTTTCTGTATGAGTTAACATTTAGGAAAATCTATCACAAATAACACAGTTTCGGTTTCCCTCACTGACACCATTAACACCTACATCTTATGACCTATACTTACACCATATTCACATGCATTCTGCAGCGAGCCAAAAAACTGTCTGAACATCAGTGGAATCTCAAACCAGCTAACTGGATATAGCAAAGTCCCTGGCTTCACACAAAGACAACTGAATGGCTGAAAGGGCTCTTGTATGTCCTATTAACTTTGATCCTTTCATGGAAATGTCTGGTAATTGTTCTAAACCTTACATGATTCACACTGGTAGCCAACATTCTGGGCTAACAGATGGGTGACAAAAGATCTACATAACTTAACAAAGGACTAAAAGGGCAAGAGAAAGAGTGGCAGAGGGTGACAAGGTGGCAGCTCTGTACATGCTGAACAAGAAGCAGGCAAGGGAGAACACCAGGAAACAGTAGCAAGGAGCAATGGAAGGTATGCTCAGGAAACCTGCTCACAAGGAAAGTCTTTGAAATCAAATATCACACAATGCATCACCAGAAATGACTCACAACCAGGAAAGCAGACTGGCTTGGCTAACACACCACACCACAGGGGAGACATGGAGAACAGGACAAGAGGCAGCTATGCAGCACTGTCTAGATGTAGGGGCTGGAGGAACAGAACATCACTGAAAGAGGAAATCCATACCCACCTTCACCAAATCTGGGCTTGATTTTGCATTAGATGCTGAATCAATGATCTTAGATTCGGCATGTATTCTGCGTAACCGGTCTTTAAGATCTGTGTTTTGTGCTATTGCCTGGAATATTTAACAAAAATATTGGGGATATAAAGTTCTCTCAACTACCTCAAATGTGACTTTATTGTATAAAAAGGGGCAAAGACTTTTTAAAGTGTAGTATAAAACACCACCACATCCTTTTTTTACTGGTTCAGCAAATCCTTTATTACAAATTCTTCAAACCTTACTCCTTATCTGTCAAATTAAAACTGTTTCTTCCCAGTGTGAGGAAGCAGAGACATCAGTGGATGAAAAAAGTCAAAGATGGCAGGGATATTTTTCTTTTCCAGCTCCCTTCCTAAACCCCCATCTTCAACAAAGCCTTTCCCAATGTTAGTTATTGCCACATGAAAAACCATTTGATTTTCCCATACTGGCAGTTCCCTTTGATAGAGAAACAAGACAAAATCACATGGGTAACAGGTACAATTTGTGTCCTATCAGACTATAATGACAATGGTCCGAATAAAAAGCCTCTTCTGCAAACTCATGTTTTTACATGTTATTTACTTATTTTGAGTGCATCTGATAGACAGATGTCAATTAGAGCATACTTGTAGAAAGAGAGCCTAACCCTGGAATTAAAATGTCTCTGAAATAAAAGATTGGGTTATTAATTTTGGAACTATACTGAAGACTTACATCCCATTTTAGTGATCTGAATCAATACTAGGATGTGGAGAACCCTGCTGTTTACATATCCACTTTATCCCACAAATGCTCCTGCTTTTGGCACTAATTTGTTTTGAAAATTCTCTTGGGTGCAGGAAAGCCAATAAGCTCAATGTGATGATGGAGAACTTATTTCTGGATTTACCTATATGTTGTCTGAATTTGCCAAAAAGATATACATATCCCTACTGTGTCAAATGCTCGGCCCTGTGTTAAATCCTCATCACGCAAGTGCAAAATAGCTCTCCTGTAATGACAACTTCTCATTTTCATTATTTGCTACAAAATATTTTCTTCTTCCTGCTGTCTTATTCCTCCCCCCAAATGAGAAATATTGTATCTTTTCCCATTTTTTATTTCCTTTTCTTAGAATGCATGTAGGTCAAGGATACTATCTTAATGAGGGAGAAGCAGAGGCAGATATGCTAGTTTTGTGGTGGCTTATCCACTTTAAATCTGCTCAATTTTCTTCCACTGCCAGGCTGATGGGAGAAAAACAGACTAATGTTTGCTAGCTTTCAACCTGTGAGTGATTTTTTTTTCCCATTCCTCTGTACAGAAAACAAACTAAAATGAACAACAACAAACACTAAGCCAAAGTCATTAACACCAGACACCTTGCAAGGAAGTCTAAAAAATATGTCAAGTTTATCATATCCATGCTTTGAAATGTCTTCAAAGGAAGCTCATTCCATTCTCCTACAGGATCTCCGCTGTTCAGGGTGAGAAAATTTTTGTTGGCATGACATTAAAGACCTCCAGATTAAGAAGAGCCCTCATAGGTGATTACCTTGCTGAAAAAGCCAAGGTTCACAGACGACTTCTAGATGGGCTGCAAGACTAATTAAGAATCAGATAATACCTAACAGAATTATTTTTACGACACATACAGGATGAAGATGGACAATCACATTTCACTGCCCAGAAAACAAAATAATTCATGCTAAGCTGAGTGTTTACTAAATTCAGCGACCTTAAAATTGATTTTCTGATATAAAATGGTAGACAAATAACACTGAAAAAATAAAAGTCACCTATTCAAATATCAGAAGTGGAACATCTGAAAGCTAAAAACAGAAGAAGTGCAAGTGAACAAGTACAGTTATTATGCAACAGGCTTCAAATTTCTCTAAACACTGTGGAGACATCGCAGCCTCTACAGGTCCAGGCAAAGAGGCATGTCATACTCTTAGAAAGTGTAATCACATGCAGCTTTTGTAAAGCAAAGGGAAGTTTTCATACCTAAATAATTCTAAGATGGTCTACATCAGACTTATCAGTGCCAGAGAGTCTCCTGCACCTCTGATGTGTTTAAAATAAACACTATAATTTTAAGGCCGTGGTAGTGATTGCTCTCTTTGCTCTGGAATCAGATCAGTTTGGTTGTCATTTTTAAACATGATCAAGTTGAAAAGCTCTGGTGTCTACCAATTACATAAAGGACACCAACCAAACCCCCACCTTTTTAAAGAGCACAATCTTTTGTCCTTTAGAACTCTGCCCTAATAGCTCCATTGCTGCTTTTGGAGGACTGAGAGATAATTGAGTTTGGAAGTCAATATAAACAAGTTGTACTTGAATTTGCTTTGCAGTGTCTTGGTGAAGGTCTAGTGCATTAGAAAGGACAGCTGAGTGCATTCAGCCACCCTCACCTTTGTTTTATGCCAAGCCATACAATGAATATTTGAGTGCTGTTTAGATAAAGAAAAGGAAAAGAAAACCTGAAACCCATCAGAAGGAAGTAGTAGCATGTTCAGAAAGAAACTGGACTCAGTCACAGAGCAGCCCTCTGATTCTTAATTTCAAATGATACAGATTAGACTACATACCTAAATCAATCTATCAAACTCCAATGATTTGACCTTTAACATTTAGCAAAGTCTCTGAAAAACACGCTCTATAATAACTTATTATGATTAAATTCTGCAAATTTTGGCACACAGCTGACACTAAAGAAACAGAAATTAATTCCCCTAAAATTTAAAAGTAGTATCTGATGACCATGAAGCTTGGTGGGCTTCAGCATGTCACTTACAGATGTTAAGGCATTCTTCAAGCCCACTATTTGTGCAGATGGAGATGAGGATGCATCGTACTCCAGCATCTGCTTCAGCTTTTCTCTCTCTGTAGATATGGTGCTGAAAGCTGACCTCAAGGTGAAGTAAACTAGAACCAGTTCATAAAAAGTGACAGTTAAAAACAGAAGCAACCTATTGTATACACACCAATTACATAAAACTCCAATAAAACATCATTTATGGTGACAGAAACAAGAATTTAGGTTGAGAGATCCAGCAGAGTTACTAAAAACAAGTAATATTAATCAAGGTTATAGGGTAGATTGTTTGTAGGATCATCTTTATGGTGAAGGCTATTATGTTGACTATATTAGCCACAGTCAAAATTACTCTGATTATTTGTGACAGATGGCAACAAAGCTAACTAACCACATCTGCTCTTCACTTGCTTTTGTTTCCCAATTAGCTTGAATCTTCAGATGGTCATGACTCTATTCCATATTCCTCTATAAATTCCAGTAGGGGAAAAGACGAGACGAAAGGAAAAGAAAATTAAACAGGAAAAAAAAATAATCAAAAAAAAGGCAGCTATAACACATATTGTGCTACAGCTATAGGGTTAGTAGTTTCGCTACAAGCAAGTCGACTGTGGTGTTGTGTTTTGTTATCTCTTTCTCTCTGTAGTAGAGAAATTTCAGCTTGTTAGATGATTTAGTGACTCAAAGGGTCAGATCCAGAATGATATGCATGCTATGCTGCTACTTCTCCTTCTTCCTGAGGCACTACCACCAGCCCAATACATTTAAATCAGACAACAGATCACGCAATTTTAAAATCACTACAGGGGGTTTTATAGGGGAAATGCACTTTTAGAATTTTTTTTTTTTAGCACTACGACATCACATCTTCTCTTTTATCACAAAGAATAAAAATTTATTTGAGCAGTATTTGTCTGAGTGGGATTTCAACATTCATCTAACTGGAGTGTTAGAGGACTTCTGAGGACCTAATCAAGCCCTGCAATATAGTCATGAGACTTGCCAATGCAAAAATGAATCCATTAGCAAGGAAATGAAGATAGAAAATCTGAGCATGGATGCATGAAAAGGGCAAACAACAAGAAATTCCCAATACTTCTCTCTCCTAATCAACTACTCTGAGTTAACCTGAATCTTCATAATTTCACTGAGTAGTTATGTAACCTAATTTAGTCTTCTGAAAAGTTATTCTTAAGGTATATACCAACACTGCAAACCATTACCGAAGCTAATTCTTACACTATCCAAAGAAATTTTTAACAGTATCACAGGGTGCGGAGGGAAATATATCCACTGTGCTCTGTTCTGTTAGGCTTTCTTTTATATGTTGATAACATGACCAGAATCTTCAGTGACCTTCAATGACATTTAATATTTTGTATACTAACTTAACTTTTCAAGAACTATTGCCTACTAAATGACTGATGTTGCATTTTATTCAATTTGTATCAGAGGTGACACAAGTTTTCTCTTTCTTGGAAGGGGGGTGCTATGAAATAAATTTAGAGAAAAATTCTTTCTCCTTTTAGTAAAATGATTCTGAAGTCATTAGAACAAAGTTAATTGTCCCTTCAAATGTGTGGATCAATCTAAGCAAAACTTCAGTCATGGACAACTCCAGTAAGATGATCTTGAGTAGCTGATTTCTTTGCTCTGCTTAACAGCAGCTTTTCCCTCTACATCCCTTGCTCACTTCTTTTCTTCTTTTGGAAAACATACGTCAGTTTTCACTATAATTGGCTTTATGAAGTTTACTACTTACATACATTCCTTACATAACAGAATCAAGATACATCAGCACCAAGGGGGAGCAGCAAGCAGAGAATGTTTATAGATACCATCAACCATTATCGTGTGACAAAGGGGACAAAGCCAATAATCCCAAAAGCCTTTCAGCCATAAATGCTTAAGTGCCTCCCTCACTAAGATCACTTAAACAATAAAAATGTTTCTGGTGCATGGGTGATGGAACAAAGTGCTGCTAATGAAAAATGATTTTGAGGGAAGAAATATTTCTAGTCAAGCTCCCCCTCTGGCTGCTTTGCATGATTTACTCTTCTGTATTCACTAAAAATAGGTTACTACCATAGCAACCCTTGCATCACCAACAAATGTTGACTCCAAACTACAGGGAAGCATACAGAACATAGAAACATAAATGTGCCCACATGCACAAATATGCGTGCAAACACAAGAGAGTAAAGTCTGCTGTATTTCTAGTAATTGATTTTAGGTATTTTTCCTTTTGGCAACAAATAAAACAATCTAGGCTTTTAACACATAAAACAAGGTGCAGTTCTCTATTAAATAAAACCTGTAAAAAGTGGTGATTAAGTCACCTTCAAATGACTCAAGATCTCAACATCTGCAATTCCTCAAGGAAATTAAAGGAAGGGTGTTTTCTAAACAATAAACAGGAAGCATTCTCAGAAGTCATATCATTATCTAAACTGGGATGATATAAAATCATCTATAAAAGACAATTTCATTTACCTTTATGTGCAACATGAAATAAGTCCTCCTGCATTTTAGTAAATTCTGATGATGTTTCGGAGCCATCAGAGTAATTTTTCTCCTCTACAAAATCTATCGTAGATAGATTTGGATTGGAAGCATGCAGTCTCATAGGGGCAGAAAATACTGAAGGCACCTGTAAGTAGGATAGGAATTTTTGATGATTTTACAAACAAAAGAAAATTTTGTTTTATTGTACCCACCTGGATTCCATGTTGGAGACATCAAAAATGAAGAAAATTACTGTCAATTATCAATAAGCTTTGAATGGATGACACCTGGCAAATGAAACCAGAGATAAAACTTTGCCCAAGGCGCCATAATGGGAAATTGCCAAACTCAAAAAACCAAGCCCATTGAGAGCTGTTACACATGCTAGGTTATTTCCCCCCACTTATAAGTATCTAATCACATGGCCTCTGGATGCAAATGTGCATAAAACTATCTAGGGAATTTTCAAAAATCTGTACTCATAAAAAAAAACCCCAAACAAAAAAATCCCAACAAATTAGAGAAGTCTGAAAATGGGTAAAAAACATGGCCAGTGTCCTGAAGATAGCAGGACAGATTCTATTGCAGATATCAATGACACCACATTTGTGTTTTGTCTGATATATTACACTTAAAATGAGCTAACACAGGACTCTACTTAAAAAGGATTGATATTTCATTAGCTGGTCATGCCAAGAAGTGATCAATAACTAAGGTTTGGAGGAAGGTGGGGTCTGAAAGGACTGAAGTTACCTGTAACATTCCTTTGGCTTCTTTCCCAACAACTCTGGATCGCCACCTCCTGTGTGTTCTCTTTTCCTTCTTTGGGCTTTCAAAAGGTCCCACCTTTTAACAACACATGGACAAAAAAAATAGACAGCCATAAATCTAACAACACTAAGAAACACCTTGATTCTTTAGGATTTGGGGTTGTTTTTTGCAATTGTAAGGGAAATCAGTTTTTGGTTTTGTTTTTAAACAACAAACCTGCATAGCATTTATGGCAGGCGCTGAATATGTCCTGTGAAGAACATCCATGCTCTGTAACAGCTGGTTCATTTCCAGTAAATATGTGTGACAGTTGGAGAGGTCTGTTTGGAACAAGAGAGTATTTTCAGTTGCCCTAAAGTAACAGACACACTGACAGTTTTCTTTCTTCGTAGGTTAGTCCTATTTTGATTGCAGCTAGCATAAGTTATTGGATAAAATCTATAGTCAAGTTTAAATTCAAAATATTGAAATGCATCTATGTGGTGTGTATAATGATCGTGATATCTTTTCCTAGATGGATGCAGAAAAATGAGAAAAACGTGATAATTTCTGCAGTTTGAGATTTGTCAGAGGTCCTCATGGTGAGGGTAACAATGCCACAGGCATCAACACTCAATTGTACATTCACACCTAGAGGTGAGGTTCCTCTGAATTTGAGATGAAGCTCACTAGTAGGTAGAAATTTAATAAATAAATATCACATAGACATTGCCAACATGAGAAAGATCTTCCTGCTCTTAGGAAAGTATGACAGCAGAACAGAAGGTGACTTTGAAGTACAAAGACTTCATATTTTTTTAGTTACTAGGTTTTGGATGCTTCCCTTTTTCCAGCCCAAGGATGTTCAAATCTTACTACTGAACATGATGTACTCATATAAAAGAAAATGTACTGAAATGTATTGGTTCCTTGAAGAGCTGCCCACAATTGATACCCCCACATCCAAAATTACTAGTTCTGCAAAAAAGTGACTAACCACTTAATCAACAACCACATCTTTCCTTCCTCCACTTTCAGAGAAAATTCTAACAGAAATGACTACTAGGTGTACAATACTCCCATTGTTAAGGAAAAACTAGGGGAAATATTAGGCTACTTTCAATTTTCTTCAAATATAACTACCTCTTGAGCATTTTTCCATGTCTTCAGAAGACTGTAGCCAAGATGAAATCCTGGACTCATTACTCGAAAAAGAAAACGACAAATTACCTCCAGTTGACATTGAACTCTGTTTGGTCAAGCTGCCTGCCTGTTCCAAACAAGAACAAGTGAAGTATTAACACACAATAATTTAATGTTGTCTGCACAAATTCTGACAACCAGCAGTTAAGGACCATGATCATGGACAAGGACTGAAGGCATCAATTACATGGAGGGGAAAAAAGTGTATGATCTAGCCTAGGTATACAGACATTGAGCATGATGGCAAGATAACTAATGTAACTGCTGTCCACAAGCAGTAGAAAAACTCAAGGAATCATAAAAATTTGCTGAAAACTAAATTTTGAGGAAGGGAAAATTTCTGCATAAATTAAATCAACACAGTCAAGTTGTGCCAAGGGAAATATAGGCTGGATATTAGGAAAGTGTTTTACAGAAAGAGTGATAGATAAAGTACTGGAATTGTCTGCACATCCTCTGCACATCCCTGGATGTGTTTAACAAAAGACTGGATGTGGTACTTGATGCTGTGGTTTAGTTGAGGTGTTAGGGCTGGGTTGGACTCAATGGTCTTGAAGGTCTCTTCTAACCTAGTGATTGTGTAAAAGAATTAAGGTACCATAGCTGAAGAGGTTCCTCCTCCATGCTTCCCAAAGAAGCCCCAAAAGTAACTAAAATGTAACACACACATTTTTAAATGCTAATTTTCAGTGTAAAAGCAAGATATCATTTAAAATTTTGACACTAGATGTCACTTAAAATTCTACACAAGGTTGAATGACTTCAGCATGGATTTGGCTCGAAAGGCCTTAATACAGGGATGGTCATATACCTTATCTGTGTAAAGACTGCCCTTTGACAACACCTTAGTAAACATTTTCACACTTAGCTCAATTTCAGCAGTGCCTATCATCACATGCTCCAAGAGGTGAGAGAAATTCTGCGTAAGTGCTAACGGGAAGAAATTTTTACCCAGTACTATTACCGGTTGATTGTGGCCTATAATGCTGTTTCTTCTCTGATGTAGCTAGTAATAATAGCCATTCAAATACCTAATTATTTGTACATCTTACTAAACCTTTCATTTTCAATAAAACCCAGATCAGGAAGACACACAAATCACAAGTTTTGTAAACATCTTGTTAATAACCAGTTTTAAACTGTTTCATCCTAGTGCCATTACACAGGCATTTTACTTATGATTATGAGAAAAGCTGACTAAATTGTTTGTCTCTTCTCTGAAGCATACAATTTACAAACTTTGCTACTTATGAGCAGAGCTAATATAAGGTGAGCTACTCCTGCCCACCTTATATCAGAACTCCAGTAGTACTAATTTTAAATCTATTAATAAGAAACTTCATCTATATCTCAATCAGTTGCAGCTTTCTTAGTTGGCCTTTTTAAGTCTACAGCATAACCACCAACCTGAGTTTCAGAGTAAAATAAAATGCATCATCCATGAGATGTCATTTGGTATTGTGTCACTATGCAATAGCAGTAAGCATCAGTGAGCACACTTGTTTTTAAATTAATCAGTGCAGCTTAGTTGGCTTATTCCTACATAAAGGTGTCCGAGCTTTAGTCATATTTAGATATATATATATATACACACACACACACATATATCCAAATAATAATCTCAGCACCTAAAAAGCACAAGTAAACTGAATTTAATGATGGGCAATTATACTGGCATTTTGTGAACAAATTCCACATTTACCTCTTCAAAAATTTGCCTCACCTAACCAACTTTTCCATATACATAAGTGAGATGAGCGTGAAGAGAAAAGGAAGTAGGGATTGCCAATAAGCAGACAAGACAGAGCTTGTGTAGCTCCAGTTTTCATAGTTTTGCTTTGGATCAGCACAGTTAAGCTTTAGAATGCAAGAATTCCACATAAACATGTGTAGATACCTACACCTGTCTCTCAACCATAATAAAAAAAGTGAAAACCAATCGGATGTTGTTAAAAGCACATAAAACGCAACTCAAATTTCACTTGATATATATTTCTCAAAATAACCTAAGTGCTGGAGTGATATCAACTAACACTAAGCGAGGGCTGGTGTAAATTGGCAGACTTCCATTTAGCTTGAGCACAGCTAAGGTGATTAACTGCAGCTTAAGAACTATCCCCTTCTATTTTTCACATGAAAATAAGTAGGGCTTCTTTGCAGTACAAATCTGGATTAATAGTCTGAATTAAAGTCTTTCATGCCAAAGAAGAAATGGTTAGTTTCCTGACAGTAAGCACAGATTTCAGATATGCTGATCACATAGGTTTCTTTGGTTTGGGTTTTTGGGGGTTTTTTTTGGGGCACCAGCTTCTGCCCTTGATATTCTTCCCCATTTCTATCCCTGCTGTCTTTCAGGAGAAAATAACTAAAGGGCCACTAAATGCCAGATTTGGCATTCCCTTGCAGCCAGTGCCTGAGGAGAGCAGGCTGTCAGAGGCGCGGAGCTGCTGCGGGCACGCGGGATGCGCGCACACGGCTCTGTTACCGCAGGGAGAGTTTCTGTTCCTTCAGCTGCCCGCTCACACAGACCCCCTCCCATCCACACGAGCAAAAAGCTGCTCAGACACACGTCTGCATTTGCTAAAACTCATTCTCAGTTACAGGATAAAGTGAGGAACTGCGGGTATTGGGAACAAGCCTACTCAGATCATAAAGTAATTACTACACCAGGGAAAAGCAAGCCTTGGATAGAAGTAGAACGAGGACTGCATTGCTGCTTAGGAGTCATGCTGGAGCTGACAGAAACAGCTATACATCTCAGGTGTAATAGCACAGAACAGGTTTTTTTTTTTAATTCTCAAAAGCGACCAGTGATTCTGCATTGGAGCAGAAGAGCTGTTTTGGGTGAAGGTCAGCCAGTCAATGTACTGAGAGAGAGCTGAAGGCACAGTGGCTGTGGCACAGAACACACTCCATCTCCCACTAAACTGCAAAGAAGCCATTTATGGGGTTGGGCTGAGCATTTGTCAGGCCATTTGTGAAACTAATTCACAGACTGTACCAAAAGAGAAGTACACTGCTGACTGGACCCATCCAGATCCCATATCCACCCACAGCATAGCCCTTGGATTGATCCAAATAATGCTTCTGCCTCACTTAAAATATAAAGAGGGGTCTTAGTTTATAATTCCTTCTATATATAATATATGTATAATATATATTCCTTGTATATCTAATTTGTTGTAGAATAGTGACGTCTTGTATAATTCCTACACACTCCTTTGTTAAGTAGTCATCTTAATTCATGTAAAAGGGGACAGGGTTTGTAAGCTAAAGGATATAGAGCGAAATGCTAAAGGGAAAAAAAATAATTAGCTGAGTACTCTTCTGTGACTAATATTCACCAGCACATACCAGACAAATATTTTTATAGGTCCCAAAAATTATGAGGATTCTAATTCAATATACTGTTTTGAAATTCATGGTGGAAGTACAATTTGCTGGATTAAAATAGTGAAAAACTACCAAAAATTTAACAACATCATAAATGAAACTGCTTGGATGTAAATCAATAAATTTTCCTTTTGACATTTTAGATCATAATAAGTGCCACCACAAACTTCCAGTACGCTCTTTATTTAATGAACACAATTTAGACTAATTTAATTCCTTATGGAAGCTCATTATTTATAAAGAAAAACTATTACCTTTCTACCTGGTGTAGAATCACAGAAACCTGGGACAGAGTCTGTAGTAGTAGACACAGGGAAGAAAATGTTATTGGCGTCGTGAGGAAACATGGAGATTTCATTCTGACGGTACATCCTGTGATGGCGAAGTTTTGCTACCCATTCATCAAACAGCTCCTGAGACTTCACCTACACAAAATTTCAGGGTTGATGACATTCATATTCAAAATAACAAACAAAGAAATAATGGTATTTTGTGCTCATTAGACAGCTAGCCTGGCTGACCTTTACCGGCAATGTATCAGGAAAGTTTTTCTAAGGACACTCCTACCAAAATGCACGCTGTATGAGCTTAGGCATGACAGAAGATCAATCACAAGATAAAGTCAGGGAAAAAAAGAAACTACAGTTAGTAATTATGCCTTCCAATGCAGAACACAATACTAGAGCAACTTACAGATTAAAAAAACCCTTACAATTTGAATAAAGACCCTCACATTTGTAATTTCTTAATTGCCACAGTTAAAGCTAGGCCAGTGTTGAACTAATTACAAGCAAAAATTTGATTTTGTTGATGTATTTCAAAACAATTTATCCCACAAATATAAATCCCCACACTTGACCATGGAAAACACTTCTTATAGATAAGACAAGAAAGAAGATACTGAAAATAAAAGCACTTGTGCAAGAAATGAAAAAAAAGCACTGCCAAACATGAGGAATCTTCCAAGTTTCTGTTCAGAACAGGATTACTGATTCTGGGCCCTGAAAAAGTGCAATAAGACCTCTCCAGTTATTAAGTGAAAATGAATCTGATGAGACTAAAAAGTTATTAGTGCAACTGACAAACCTCTTTCTATAAAAAAAAATCTACACAGCTACTGGTAGTCTTTTGGGAGCAAGGTTATAACAATCTTGAAGACCTACCTTCAGGTGGTATATCTGCTCCTCTGTATCCAAATCTATACATTTTGTTGATTTCTTTACAGACATGACAGAAAGTCCAACATCAATACAGCCATGAAGTTTTCCTCTCTCTATCTGCAAAAAAGTAATAAGTAAAATCACAATCACAACAGATGAAAGCAAAAGGATCAATATTACCTTCTGAAATCAGCATTTCTTCCCCTCCCAACCTACTGTTTAGAACAACTGAAAACTCATTTCTCATTGCCAACAGTAGGGAATTTTTGTTATTTTGGATATTTGTTACTTTATAATGGTCTTAAAGGGTTTCAGATCACTTACATCAGCTCGGCATTTAGAATACTTCAAGATGCCTCTGTCCAAAAAGAAGTATCTCTGTAACAGAAATGTAGAGAATTATAACCAAACAACATACAAACAAAAAAAAAAGTCACATACAGAAAAATAGCCCAACCACATCCTCTCCCCTTCAATTTCTCTGCTTTTATGTAACCTTTTTGTCACAAAACCACACCAAATAAGTTCCACTCAAGCTTTCAGATACACATTCCTTTCCTACCTTATGCCAGCCTTTCAGAGGCCACTTCCTCTTTTTCAGCAAGCAGCCCTCCTGCTTCTGTGGCTCCTGGGTACAATTCATTGCTCCCCGGAGTCCTTCTACAATTTCCCAGCTGTCCTGCTTAAACAGAAAATCCAAATGTAGATCTTATTTCTTCCAAATAACTGAATTGTTAAGAGAGATTCAACAAGGAAAAGGCTATAAGAAAAAAAGACAAATTCTAGTTGATGTTGAAATATAACTAAGGTTCCATGTCCACACTTTGTTATGTATCATAGGAGAGATAAGGTTCTTTTTAATTTTGATAGAAGCAATACCACTTAACAAAACACAATTTTTATTTTATCATCCTTCATTGAATTTTAGATGTATCTTTTCCTGCACATATATACACACAGTGAATAACCATAGCATAGTCATAATTTAGCAAAAACCTTCTGTCATCAGAGACAGAAACAGCCTATGTCAAAAGGATAGGTTTTGTAGATTATGAAGCAAAAAATAAGACACTAAAAATGAAGATCTTTTTTCTATAAAACTCTTTTGTCCATACTCAGTACCTCAATGTTTTGTGTAAATTGCAGCCTCCCTAAAGTAAAAATAATAAATCAAACTAAACTAACAACAATATAAAAAGCCAGGGAAGTACTATGAGGAATATTACATAAATGGAAACTACAAGAAAAACAGAAGTTGCTCCTCATCAGATAAAACTAATTAAGAGCAAATATCTCTTTTTTACCACCAGGAACTCTTAAATGAAAGACCCTGCATCAGCAAACCAGAGAATAGTCTAAATCTCATAGTATTTTTATAGCTTTTATTTATGGAACAGCTACGAATGACAATGTAACATGAGTTTCAAGGTTTCTGATGAGAGATCTCATGAATTATTTATTGCCAGGATTTGGCAGATGTAGAATTATAAATAACTGACAGGAAGTGGTATGTGCTAGTATCATCCTCTTATATTTGAAAAAGATAAAGAATACTTTAATACATAGAGTATAATAACAGAAAAGGACTAGTATGAAGCACATTAGGGAGAAGAGCAGAGAACTATTCTAGGTAGGTAAGAACTCATGGTGGTCCCTGTAAGATATATAGGAAAGTATTCCCAAAAAGAACTTGGCTGCCTCAAAAAAACAAACAAACAAACAAACAAACAAACAAAAAAACCAAAAAAAAACCACCATGAAAAACGAAAAAAAAAAAAAAAAAAAGATTATCAAGAGTACTAGCTCTCCTCACTCATCCATCTTCATTCTTCATTCTTAAAATTCACCTCTATAAAGCCAGAAAAATTAGAAAAATTTNAAAAAAAAACCACCATGAAAAACGAAAAAAAAAAAAACAAGAAGATTATCAAGAGTACTAGCTCTCCTCACTCATCCATCTTCATTCTTCATTCTTAAAATTCACCTCTATAAAGCCAGAAAAATTAGAAAAATTTATATCACATAATGTGCTCATTACTTGTGTAATAAGGCATTACAAGAAAGCCATCTTTGGAAAGGCATCTAATAATTCCACCACACTATTGGTGGCACTCAGTTATTTCTCTGTTATTTTCCTTATGCCTCATTTAATAACAAACCAGTAAACTGTTCTGCTTTCCTGTTTTGACTTGTCTGCCAACACTCACCACAATAGGCCACAAGCTGTGGAAATGTGGGGCTGAGCAGCTCCTGGCAAGTAACACCCTATAGACCATCCAATGATGTTGTACTACCTCAACACGAGTCAAAAAAGTAGTTGTCCTAACCAAAATTTTTATGAGGGAACACATTTTGTCATATAATTTTAATTAAAAACTAACAGCTACAGCTTCAAGATTAAGAAAAATGTTGTGATTTGTTTCTTTCTTCTTGAAAGTAGCCAGAAGAACTTAGAAGCTGCTTTGCCCAAATACCAAGCAAGATATTTTCCTTGTCATGCCAAAATATATTAAACTGCAGTACCCAAGCACATAACTTTTCCACTGAGAATTAATCTGGTAGTAGAGAACAGTAGATCTTTTTCACTATTCCAGTGTTGTACCTAATGAAAGAACTTTCTCCAGTTTTGGGATCAAGTTTTCACAGGGTTTGGTTAATCATAAACACAGTATATCATTGATTGAAGGAGAAAAGCAGAAATTTGATCTCAATTGAGGAACATTTACAGTATCATAGATCATCTCAGGTTGGAAGGGACTTTACAAGATCATTTAGTTTCAGCCCCATTGCCATGGGCAGGGACACCTTCCACTAGAGAATGGGGCTCAGAGCCCCATTCAACCTGCCATGGAACACTTCCAGGGCTGGGGCATCCACAAGTTCTCTGGGCAGCCTGCTTTAGTGGTCTCAACTTTCACAGTAAAAAAAAAAACAACTCCTAACAGCTAACCTAAATCTCCCTTCTTTCAGTTTAAGAGTTTCACTACATAAAAAATCATTCTGTCTTTTTTATATGCTCCATTAGGTACTCAAAAAGGCTGTAATGAGTCACCATGGAGCCTCATCTTCCTATAAGGGTAAGCTTAGAAAGAAAGAGACTCCTGAAATGAGACAAACCCATGATACTGGGTGTATGAGGTGAAAAGAATCAGCTGAGAAATAGCTCAGCTAATTACACTTATGTGGAATAAACACACTGTTAATAGTTTTGATCAGAATACAATATTCTTTAATTCTTTTTAGTACAGAATACAATGTTCCCTGCATTATAACTCAGATTTTGCTTGGAGGCAAGACACAAGGTGTCTTTCACATTCCTACAGTGAAGTCATATTTATCACAGTTCTTTAGGTGAACAATGCAGCCTAGAATATGCCTTCTCAAATAAAAAGTGTGAAAATGGGAAGAAAATCTGAAGTGGAAGCACTGCTTCTCCTCAAGCAGGCTTGAGAGCCTGCCAAATCTCAGGTAGAAGGCAGGTCTGCTACGCATCTCTCTACCCTGGGAGCCTCACACTTCAATTGTCAGCTGTACATAAAGGTGGCTGAGTTGAATTAGAAATGGATCCTCTGAAAAGCTCACAGAATTAACAGTTTGGGAACCTACTGGATACATGCAAGGTGGCATGATGCATTAGCAGAATCTGGTCCTCTTCCATATACATCTTTCCAGAAGAATCCAACCTTTCCCACCTGAAAAAAGTCACATTTTTCAAAAACACTGCTGCTGTAACTGGTTTTGGATCTGTTTGCTCAACCCAGACCCTAGCGATCTTGACCAGGTTTTTTGTTTTGCAAGAGATTTGACACCTCACTGAATGAGGAAAAAGCGTCAGCTGGCTATTCCTGGGAGCAGCTGCAGAAGAAGAAAGAAAACTGCTTACTCTCTAAAATGAAGGCAAATGAATCAGGCTGGTCGATTATCATCTCTGCTCATTCCCCTGAAATAGCAGAGGAGCAAATTGGAGACAAAGGATCTCCTGAAAGCATCCAGATGATACTCCTTTTTGCTTATTCTTACACTACAATAGGGAGCTGAAAGAGATAGCCCAAAACATGGCACTAACTTGAAAAAAATGACACCACTCCCCAAAAAAGACCCCAAAAGTACTAGATGAATGGCATTAACAATTCTAGCATAAGTCTCCTGTCTAGATTGGTTGTGTTTTAAGATTATGATGCTACAAAAGATTTATGCATCTTTATGGGCCAAAATCTACACAAAATTATAACTTTTCTAACAAAAAGTTATTAGATTTAAAACCACTACATTTGCTGCCCAGGAAGAAATTTCACTTGAGACTAAGGGAGGAACAAAATCTTTACTTTTCTTAGGTCTAGAGGTGCTTGTTTCAGATCAGTACTGAAAAATATTCCTGTACATGCTCCTTGGCACATACTTGGTCTATGGTTGAGGGAAAGACTTTGGTCTTCAGAGATAAGTCCATTATTAGGTAAATGTATTAATTTTCTTTGTTTAATATAATAAAAGCCTTCTCATTTTCTGCAGTAGTCTGCACCACACAGCTCCTTAAGGCAAATTATTTCAGGGGAAAGTATGAAGTAATGATTCTGAATGGCTCTTGGACTGATGCTTGCAGTTGCAGCTCCCTGAATGAAACAGATGACAGTGCCACACTTTCTTTCAGTGTAAAATGCAGTCAGTTGTACCAAATATCTTAAACTGCCAAAAATAGAAACCTGCTTTGTGGAGGACAAGGGTTGGCATCAGCTGCAACTATGGCATTTGTTACAGTTCGTAAAATTGGCAGAAATTATTTCATTTTCTTTTATGGAACATGAGTTTTTTAAAAACGGTTCTCCTGTCACTAAGCTTTTCCCTGGTGGATCTATTTTAAAAGTTAGTTAACATATCCGATTTAAAAATAACTTGCACAACATACTTTCTTTTGATCACAGGTCAATTTAAACTTAAGGAAGGTCAACACCAGTTTTCTTTCCTCACAAAACTGAATTTGACTTGTGTCTCTGTGGAAGAGATTCCTTTCCATAACTGAAGGAGAAGGGAAGAGAAAAGCAAAGAGGTGGGAAGTGGCAGTAGCCTCCAACTTTTCACGGGGCTTCAAAGTGAAGGTGAATTTAGTGGAAGAGGATTAACTGCTGACCTGCTTAGTTCACACAGCAAATGTGGGCAGGGAACGGGCACCAAATCTAGCAAAGGGAGGAGTGGATCCCTCAAAGTCCTGCAGCCCTGCTTAAGTCAACTCCTTTCTAGCACAATGGCTCATTTTCTGCATCACAGGAGTCCTGCTCCACACAAACAGCCCTCCAACATGGAGCTAGCCTTCAGCAGACACAGCAGCCCAGCTCCCCTGTGCTTCCATATCCCAACCTTGGGTCACTTATTTGGCACTGGAATACACCAGCAATAAAGTCTGTGTCTGGGACATCAAGAGAGACTCAGAATTCAGATCCTGCTATTTTTGGACAAATTTCACCCTGCTCTAACTCTTCTTCCCCCCACATTTTTCAGATCTTCTTTCTACTTAATCAGATTCAAAGAAGTACTGCATCAGAGCAGCAGCACAGAGAAAAGCACCCGTCAGGAAGATCTGTCACTAACCCACAAGCCATGAGCACAAGAGACACAAGTGTTTGAAGGAGGAATAAGAAGCCCTCCATGGAGCTGGAATATGAAGAAAAGAACATCAAAATCATAGCATGTCACTCCCTAACCCACACAGCACCTGGCAACATCTTTAAACTTTCAGGATAGCATTAATAAAAAAGTATCAGTAACAGTGTTACATCCCACTATTCTACCAGGATTTTGAAACAAACACCAAAATAAATCCAAAAAATGAACTAAAGCTCCTGAAAGCCATTGTACATGTGGTCTTTTTTTAATTAGGGGATTCTTAACAGTTTCATACAACTTTAGATTGCTGCTGTTGTCTTAATAGAACACCTAAAGTATTGTAATTTAAACTAATATACAGATGGAAAGGGCAAATAAATAAGTATGGTTCCTTATATTGGCTGTATAATATATTGGTGTATAATAACACCAGTGGATTTAGTCACACTCATGTAAATCTTATTATCTAAATAATACATCATAACACTTGATAGACACAAACTGTTGAACAGACAGTACCAAATCTTTTAAATTACACTTTTCAAACGTAATCTCATATGGAGGATTTAAAAAGAAAAATTGCAGGAAAACAAAAAAGACATCCTTTATTGTTCAGTGCACTAGAAATGCACAGCATTTCTCACAAGCACAGCACTTTATAAGTCATAAATTGTTCATACATTTATCTGCCTTGCCAACTGTATGAACAGGGCCAGAAGTCCTAGAAGAGCAGGTGCTGTTTCAAAACACAGCTGAGGGCTCCAAAGCTTTCTGGGGATTGGGATGCTCAATTCCAATTAAAATTTCTGCCTGAGGCAGCTTCCAATAGCTCTACTAAGCCAGCACTTGTACAGATAAAAGTTTATGTTAAGCACTTTGCTCATGACTTTGCAAGCATGGATTGAGCACATTTAAGTTTAATTCTCAGTGCAGCTGCAGGTCAGCATTTCTTGCCCATAAACAAAGCTGTCCTCAGCAGCCTCACCTGTCAGGTGCAAACACTTGTAGACAGGTCTTTTGAAACTGAGAGGTTTAAAGATTAGCAGAAAACAAAGCAACCTTCACGTTTGGCACGCAGATCCATCGTGTTACACGAATGCTCATTTTGCTGTCTATGGTTCTACAGCAGCAACCAGCACACCTGGGCATTCAAAGAAGCCCTATGTCAGGTTCATGAAAAATGAATTATCTTTCACACATCCATGAACACCTTTCCTTGGAAACTTGAAACAAACAGAGCAGCTACACAATATTCTACCACAAAAGTAGTGCCTAACAGAAAAGATTTGGTATTTCAGGATCAAACCACTGAGACCAAGATGCTTCAGCAGCTCTATTTCACCATATATACAATAAGATAGAAATCAAAATTTGCTGTAAGCATTCCAGTTTTACACATGCCTGATATTCAGGCATATGTGTTTAATGCATTTGGCTCAAAACAAGATGCTACTACCAACAAAAAAAAAAAAAAAAAAAAAAAAAAAAAAAAAAAAAAAAAGAAAAGAGAGAGGAAAGCAAAGAAGGGATGAAATAAAATTAAATAAAACAAGCAAGCAATGGGAAAACGAGGTTTAAGAGATTTGCAGATATCCAAGAAAAAAGTAACAGCCAATATTAGCAATGCTTTCAGCTGGGTGAAAAAAGTACCTGTCGACTTCCCTGCTTGGAGGAGCAGCTGCTAGTACTTCTTGAAGGAGACAACATTTTCTGGGATGCACCGAAGTTTTTTTCTTCACTCATGATCCAATATTATTCGTTTCACATAAGCTCACTTAGAACACCATTGAAAGGTAATTTGGAAAATGTGTTGGAAGACTCCTCAGAGAAACAGTGTACTCATCTTTACCCAAATGCAGTCCAGTGGCATGATCTGTACCCCATGGATACTCCTAAAAGGGAAAAAAAAAAAAAAAAAAAAGCGAAGTTATCAGATGCTGTCTCTTGCTGCCATATTCTAGCATGAATCATAATAAAGCCTTTGGTTAACACAAGCTGAGCACATTACTGTATTTTATAAGAAGTAAATTGAACAATCACTTAAAGGTAAATTTGCAAGTCTCAAAAAGGAATGACATACATTTTGAATCCTAAAAATATTTTAATTGTTGCTATTTATTCAGAGGACAAAGTATCAAGCATCTTTTTACAGATTTAAATTAATTTAAAAAATTTAATAAAAACTCACAAAGAAAATCATAAGTATCTATATGAAATAGCCCAATATAGATCCAAAGTGAGAGGCAAACATCCAATAAAATGCCACAAAAAATGATGGTGCAATTAAATAAATGTCTCTTTTTCTCAGTTCCTTGGTAATTTAAACAACTAGGCATGGTTTCATGTTATAAGGAAAAAAACCCCTCTACATAAAAGAGTAATACCTAAAAGTAGCAAGCACGAACACTTAGCTCCATAGAGCTGTGCATGGCCAGTTTTACCTGGAATCACAAAGCTCTATCTACTGTCACATCAGTTGTCTCAGCGAGTGGCTGGAAGAATAATTAACAGTCTGTTTAATAACAATGCTCCTTGCAGCACATGCAAACACAAGTCATGCCAGGAACTCTCAGTAATGGGGTTCCAGTGTGGGTAAAAGGGTTGTCATGGTAACTGAATACTTAAAAAAAAACCAACCAAAAATGAAAACCAAAAAATAGAGGACATTACAAAAGAGTGATGCTTTCCCAACCTTAAGGTGGCTGTATAAATTGCATATCACTTCAAATTTTATTGCCTCAAAGAATTCACAATTAGGAAGAGTCCAAGAACAACCAGTGATAAAGGAAGTTTCCACAGAGAGAAGACAGATTTCGTTGCTGAAACAGGGAGGCACTACTTCACAATTCCCTCACTTGCACTGTCACAACAGTCCTGAGCTGGGATTACTGAAATTTGCCATTCATTTTTTTACTTGAAGCGGCTTAAATTCTATTCTGAGAGAAGCAGTAATTTCAAATCCCTAGTAAAACATTTTGTGCATTTTAAGAATTAATTTTTCTTAAAAACAAATACATCAAAAGTCACAGACAAGAAAAGCTAACCAGAACACAAAATTAAAACCAGGTGCTATATTTAAGATGAAGAGAGCAGACTGGAGCAGAAAACCTCTCTCCCTGCAGCTGTAGTCTGAAGCATCCATCTTCTGAACAGAAACCTTTTCCTCTTATTGTTTTCTGGCAATATAGCTTGCTGTAACATTTCAATCAACATGACCTCTTTTCACCTGAAACACAATCTTTCCTTATGGCATTTACTTTACCTAGTTAGAAATACTATGTTACCTCCAGAACAAATCTGTTACACAGCCCCAGCCTCCACAAGTGAGGTGAGACATGAACTCTCCTGGGGCTCTTCCAGGAGTGAAGGTGAGTCAGCTTGGTAAATATTCCAGGAGCTGTCAGAGAGCTACAAAGACAGTGAGCACAACAGAGACCAAAATAAACCCCAAAACAGCAACGTGACAAGCAAGGTCTGTGTGATTTGGGCCCAACACTGGACTTGAGACTGAAGTTATGACTGAGATTAGGAGTAGTGCATTTTGGAGAAGGTATGGTCACTTTCTATCTGGAAGATAAACCTGTGTGGCATTTCATTAAGAACAAGTACTTTTAACAGGTTTAGATTTATTTCCATTTTCTTTTTAAAGCAGGTTAGAAGCATCTCAGGTTTTTTACTATGGAGTAAATATAAAGGATAACTTTCTTCCATACTTGCAAGCTCCATTCAGAAAAACAATTTAATGGTAACGTCTGTATTTACAAGAAGAGGTCAAAGACTCCCAACAGGAACAGAAACACTCTTCCTGCAAATTCATTGTTCAGATAACCCCTTGAAACCAGGCAGCAAGTGTTTTGCTTCTGGAACACACTTTGCTCAGATAAATCCCTGTTCTCTTCACTGCTCCTGTTCAGAATGAGCACCTACAGCTTTCACTGGTGACTATCTGGCATTTTGGCAGTGATTGGCAGAGTTCATGGCCAGAAACAGGCTCTAGTTTGCAGCAAAAAGTACTGGAAATTTTTGCAGCAAAAAGCACTGGGTATATCTCCTGGACACACTAAATTTAAAATATACAATGTCCTTTGCCTGTTCAAACACACAGTATAATAGTTGCCACATCCTAGAAGTGTCAAGTAACCAAAAAAAAAAGCCCTGGAAGTCATCTAATCATAGGACTCTTTTTATCATCATGTTTCTGGTGTGGAGTCTAAATAAACTTGGCTACACTACTGTTTTAGGACAGAGCAAAGGGGTACTTCCTCTGCAAATCTCCTGTAATAACAAGGTTTGAACTGCAGGGAAGTCTTGGAACATGGAAGCTGAATCCCTTTTGCATTAAATGTGCTCCAGGACTGCATCCAGTGCTCAAAGCATGGAATCCACAACACCAGACTAGAGCTAGTCCTGATGGGTGTTATGCAGGGGCTGATGTTAGGTCTTCTGAGTGATTGACTACAAGGATCCAGTTTTACTGCACTGCTCCACTTGCTAACATTGACGTCAGAGAGACACAGACTTACACCACATAAGTACTTACGACCTCCTACAGCAATGTCACTTGTCCTTTTGGAATCAAAAAGAGTGAGATGGGCACATTTCCAGAATTCAAATGAGCTGGAAATGACTCACTACCTAACAAGAGGTGCTTGAAAGAGGAGCAGGTGACAGGCGAGGTAAATCCAGTAGAGCACACCTGAAGTATTTTGTCACTCTACTTCTGAAGTTGGGCTTTTGAATTTTCCTTTATTCCTTCAAATGAGTTACTGCATGGGCTGGAAAAAAGGCTTTTCTTACCAGCCCTGAAGAATTCAGGAGTGAAAACTGTGTCGTCTCTCCAAAGTGCTTTATTCTACTGGTGTTTCCCAGTAATTTAACTTATTACCTTGAAGTCTCAAGATTTGAGCATGAAAAAGTGTATGTGAATAATTATCACAGTCACAACTTCTCTGTAAAAACCTGGTGTGTATTTTAGCAACAACTTTGTGCTCCTTTTTTAAAATTCTCTTTAAGTTTAGAAGAGAAAAAAAGATAACTGTGGCTGCCCTTCAACAATAACTCACTTATTCTTCCAGGGAGGTAGAAAACACTGATCCGGCATCCCAACCTGACTGGCTTTCAGCAGTAGTGACTGGGGCCCTCTAGGGAAAATGATATTTTGTAATACCTGTGAAAATTAAGGTCACCAGGTATAATAGCAATTACAACTTTAAAGCAAGCATAAAAAGCAGTCTTATGCTAATGAAGTGAAGATTACAACTCAAATTGATTTTTAAGGTCATCATAATCCAGTTGCTTTAGATTCATTAAAATTTGCTCCTTTCCATGCCACAGGATGGCCTCAGAACTGTATTTCTTCCCACATTTCTCTGGAGCACACAGGGCCACTTACTTCGGTTTACTCCAAAAAGACAATTCAAAGGTGTGAGGCTGAGGCAAATCCAAATAAATTTAGGACAGTAATTTTCACAAGTGCTAAGTATTGCCCTAATTCTTTTCTATAAAGCCAACAGCTGCAAAAGTAGGCCAAGAGTACCTGTTCAAATTACCTCACCACATGCATTTTGAAGAATTAAGAATACATGAGTTAGAGCTACTACACCATAAGATGATAAAAAGCACTTATCTCTACTTATCATTTGCTGCTAAGGGCCTTCTACATCAATTAAAGATAGTATAAACATATGATAATATGTAAAACAGGAATACAATTCTTTTTTTAAAAAAGTACCATCTCGCATTGTCCTCAAACCTTTAAAATTGCACAGGTTCAAAGCAGCCTTGCAGTATCATTTCATCTCTCACAACTCTGAAAACAATAAGCTTATAGCAAAATCAAAGATTTTTCACATCTTACAAAAGAAGAAAAGGGAAATTCAGGAAAATATTATGTATAACTGCAGTAGAAAAAAATCAACATTATGCAATTATTTTTGCCATGGTTCTGGAAGAAAAGTAAAGCCTTAACATCTGCTTCAAAGCTGATTCAGCAGTGAAGGAACACTAAAGACTTTGAGAAGCAAAACTGGAAGTGTACATCTCATTCTGTAGTCAATTAAGGTTTTTTGGATAGAAGAATAGTAACAACATAAAGCCTGATGAGAGTCCGGTGGATACAGCAAGCATAGAACTGAGTAATTCAAACCAGAGTTGCAAAAAGCATTGAGTGAATTGAGTGACTTTCACAGAATTAACAAAGATTTTGTGCTGAAACCTTGGCTTTGCAGCTATTATTAAATTACATTCACTCACATCTACCTGGATAAACAAAGCAATAGTCTTTTCCTAGTATTGCTTTCATGCTTTCATGTCTCTCTCTGTTATAGTTCAATTTGCCAGCTTTAATCTATCCCAGTGTCTTATCTGGCTCAAAATAGGAAAGAATTATTTATAGGCTACAGATACACCATAAACAACTATGGGAGATGTCTTTTCAAGGCAGGTATTTGCTGTTCCTGTTACTGTAAGATTCACACTACTGAAGGTCAAAGCACATAAATCCTGTTCTGTTACTAGATATTCTCTTTACTAAACAAAACTTGCAGAAACAAACATAAAGCAGTTTAAAGCAACTCTTACTAATAGGTTACTAAACCTATCTTTGAAAGCAAAGGTTCAAACAGTTTAGGGAGACTAACAATAACAGGAAGCATTTCAGAACTGCCTTCCATCAGATAAATGCTCACCCAAATCACAGCTTCTCTTGAGATGTTTTCATCAGCCTTGAAAAAATGCTACTTGGAAGCAGTCTGTGATGCAGACAGTTCCTTCTAACCTGTCTCCTTAAGGAGTCTTTTATAGCAATTTAATCATGCTATGTCAGTGAACCTGAAAGAGGAAAATTTAGTTCAAAGAAAACTCTCCTAATTGTCAAATCAAGACAGGCAGAGAG